AAGAGTTTGGGTGTAATCCTTGACGCCTCCCTTTCCATGGAGGCGCAAGTTACAGCAACAGCCAAGGCGACATTTTCCCACCTTGCCGCATCAAGCAGTTGGTCCCTTACCTTTCCCGCCCCGACCTGGCCACAGTGATCCATGCGACGGTCAACTCCAGGCTTGACTACTGTAATTCGCTCTACGCGGGGCTGCCCTTGAAGCTGTCCCAGAAACTCCAGCGGGTGCAGAATGCTGCAGTGAGGCTCCTCACGGGGTCTCTGCCATGGGAGCATATTCACCCAGTGCTTTTCCAGCTGCACTGGCTCCCGGTGGAGTACAGGGTCAGATTTAAGGTGCTGCTTTTGACCTTTAAAGCCCTTCACGGCCTACGTACCTACGGGACCGCCTCTCCCGGTATGCCCCACGGAGAGCCTCAAAGTCCATAAATAGCAACACCCTAGAGGTCCCTGGCCCTAAGGAAGTCAGATTAGCCTCAACCAGAGCCAGGGCCTTTTCAACACTGGCTCAGACCTGGTGGAACGCTCTGCCTCATGAGACCAGGGCCCTGCAGGATCTGATTTCTTTCCGCAGGGCCTGTAAGACAGAGTTCTTCCGCCTGGCCTTTGGCTTGGAGCCAATTTGATTCCCTCCCTCTCTTTCTTTTTTCTTTTCCTTCTCCTCCTGCAACGAGGCTACATTTTAATATTTTAATGTTTCAATATTTTGATGTTGTATTTTAATTTTGTTTTTAAGTTGTAATCATTCATCTTGTTTTTATTATTTCTTGTAAGCCGCTCTGAGCCCGGCCTTGGCTGGGGAGGGTGGGGTATAAATAAAAATTATTATTATTATTATTATTATCCTGTATACAGTGGTGCCTCGCAAGACGAAATTAATTCGTTCTGCGAGTTTTTTCGTCTTGCGAATTTTTCGTCTTGCGAAGCACGGTTTCCCATAGGAATGCATTGAAAATCAATTAATGCGTTCCTATGGTCAAAAAAAGTCCAAACCAAGCCAAATTTGGTACAAAAAGAGTTTATTAAGTGCTCTTTAAAGTCACACATACTGTAAAGAGCATTTCAAAAATTGAAGGAAGAATAATTTAAGTTTCTAAACATGACAGAAAGGCATTTAAAAATCACCAAAGTGTACTGTACATACATTACCTTTGCAACCCCCCCCCAAAAAAATCAGTGCTTCACATCCAAAAAATTCAAAAGCACCAAACCTCCCAGAAAACACACAAGCTTCCAGATTCTTGCAAACCCTTTCTCAACAATTCCCTGACACCCCCCCAGCCACCCACCACACAGAAATCCAAACCCAGAAATCTTTTTTTTTAACAACAGCAGAGTGCCCCAATGGTCACAAAAAATCATAAAAATGCAGAAAAAAAACACACAAGCTTCCAGATTCTTGCAAACTCCTCCCCAACACCAAGTCCTTGAATTCCAAACACCCCAACCCAAAATCCAAAAACCCCAAAAAAGTTTTAAAAGTTTAACTTACCAAATGGCTGCAAAAGAAGTTTTGGAAAAGCTTCAAAAATCACCAAAGTCTTCAAAAACCTCAAAAAAGGCTACCACACCGCGTGCTATGAGTTGCTCCTCGAAGTCAAGTCGCAACTGCACCTCTTCAAGCAATGCACCCTGGGTATTAACGGTTTTAAGAAAAAGGAAACAAGGAAACAAATTTGCAAGACGTTTTCGTCTTGCGAAGCAAGCCCATAGGGAAATTCGTCTTGCGAAGCAACTCAAAAAACGAAAAACTCTTTCGTCTTGCGAGTTTTTCGTCTTGCGAGGCATTCGTCTTGCGAGGTACCACTGTATATTATATTATATAATATACATTAGAAGATGAGACAAAACAATGGGTACACCTGGAGAGGGACACAGTTGAAAATACCCACACCACAGCATACTCATTCCTCCCAAACAAACTAAGGAAAATACCCACAACACTTAAACAGGTTCACACAGACCATGCTTATAGCATGAAAAGAAGAAGTAGGTAAACTGTTCCCAACCCCATCCCCACTAATTCCCCTGGCACACCACCCACTATTCCACCACGCAGCACAAAACCTCCAGCTAAAAACCTGGCCAACCAAAGGCTTATACAGCCTAGCAGACTTCTACAGAAATAACAAATCCACATCAACGCAAGAAATACAAGACAAACTAGGGGACACTCAAATGCCCTGGGCTAACACCCCACCAATTACCGTATTTTTCGCCCTATAGGATGCACCGGCCCATAGGACGCACCTAGTTTTCAGGGGGGGAAATCAAGGGAAAAAATATGATTTCCCCCCCGCAGCTCTGGGAGCAGCGGACAGGCTGCACGCAGCCTGTGCGCTACTCCAAGACCTTCTCCCTGCTTTTGCGGGAGGTGGCGGAATTCCCCCACCTCCCGCAAAAGCCCACAGGAGCCACACGCAACTCCTGCAGGCTTTTCAACCAGGAGGGAGAAGGGACTGAAACGGCCAGTCAGTCCCTTGTCCCTCCTCAGGGAAAAGCCCCCAAGAGCGGTGCGCTCTTTAAAGAGCGCGCGGCTCCTGTGGGCTTTTCAACCCAGATTGTGCCCCCCCATCCTCTGGGGCTGGCGATGGGGGAAGCGCTGCTTTCCCCCACCGCCAGCCTCAAAGCCGGGCTGGAGAGTAGCGGGAAGGCGTTGCGCGCCTCCCCGCTGCCCCCCATCCTCTGAGGCTGGCGATGGGGGAAGCGCTGCTTTCCCCCACCGCCAGCCTCAAAGAACAGACTCTCCTGGCTTCAGCGGAAGCAACGCGAAGCCTCCGGACATGCCCTCTTAAACAATCCAGTAGTGAAATCAGCAGCAACTAGGCCCTTGACAACCTTCGAAAAACCCCTCCTAACAACAAAGGGACACAGCAAAGGGATGGTATCCACAATATACAAAATACTACTCCAAAATCCCACAACCCCCCTAGACGTAATCTAAAAACAATGGGAGGGTGACATAGGCTATGAGATCAACCCCATCCAGTGGACCAGAATGTGGTCTAAACCTCCCTTTAAATCCATATCAGCAAAAAGAACTTACTCTGAAACTCACTAACAGGTGGTAACTAACACCACTGGAACTAGCACTAATACGCCCAGGAACCTCACCAAAATGCTGGAGAGGGTGCACCTCCACAGGCACATACCTCCACACGTGGAGGGAATGTCCTAAAATCCAACTCTTCTGGACATCAATCATGCAAGAAATAATGCAAAATAACTAAGCAAGTCACCCCAGAACTGGCCCTACTAAACATCTTCCAAGATAATAATGCCCACTCACATCGCAAAGAGCTCAGAAACATCATAGCCAGATACTGGAGAGACCTGTTAGGAGTAAGAATAGACCACTGGTATCAAATAGTATGGGAAACAGCCTTATTAGAAAAACTAATGTAACACTACTGTCTCACAACAAATGAAACTGACCTGCAGAAAACATAACTTGAAAAAAGAGACATGGTACATACTTTTGTAAACCAAGAAACCTTTAATAAAAATAAATAAATGGTGAGCCCAGCTAATTTGCGCTTTCCAAAACAAGAGGTGAACTGAAGCACAGCCGTCAAAGTTGACATTTCTACCAATTTTGGCAATACAGTTTTCCAGTTAAGTACAGAAATGCATATACAGTGGTGCCTCGCAAGACGAAATTAATCCGTTCCACGAGAGTCTTCGTCTAGCGGTTTTTTCGTCTTGCGAAGCAAGCCCATTGACGGATTAGCGCTATTAGCGCTATCAGCTGTTTAGCGGCTATTAAAGGCTTAAAGGCTTAGGGGATTAGCTGCTAAAAGGCTATTAAAGGCTATTAAAGGCTTAGCAGATTAGATAAAGGGGGGGAAAAGCGAAAAAAAACTCAAGACTCGCAAGGTATTTTCGTCTTGCGAAGCAAGCCCATAGGGGAATTCGTCCTGCGAAGCAACTTCAAAACGGAAAACCCTTTCGTCTAGCGGTTTTTCCGTCTTGCGAGGCATTCGTCTTGCGGGGCACCACTGTACCCGGGCAAAGTGTGCGTGTAAATGCATATGTGAAAAAACATATAGGAAAAGATACCTAAATGCCATATTTAAATGCGTTCTATCAGGGGAAATTTCTTTGCAAAAATATGACTATTAAGCTAATTAGAACACAAAAATGTGTATATTAGGAGATAATCAGCCTGATGAAGACAATATCTTGGGGCAGGATGTCACCAACACTCCATGCACCAGCACTGGTGAGGGGCAAGACTATTTTGTCTCCCTGGGTTCCACCATAACTAGCAATCTCTCCATTGATGCCGAACTGGACAAGAGTATTGGTAAGGCAGCTACGGCAATTGCCTTTCCCAAAGGGTATGGGAAAATGTGATGCCAACAGCCAATACCAAGATGAAGGTCTACCACGCTTGCGTGTTGAGGACGCTGCTTTATGGAAGTGAGTCGTGGTCCACTTACAACCATCAGAAGCGACTCCTCAATGGTGCCCAGATGTGCTGCGTCAGGAATATTTTGAGCATCACATGGCAGGACAGAGTCTCAAGCAAAGATGTGCTCTCCCAAGCCACATTCCCAGCATGTTCACACTCCTGTCTCAGCGATGTCCATGCTGGCTTGGTCATGTCAACAGAAGAGAAGATGGATCCTTCCTGAAGGATGTGCTCTATGGGGAACTGGCTTCATGCACCAGGCCCGTTGGCAGACCAACTCTGTGTCACAGAGATGTTTGCAAATATGACATGAAGGCTGGTAACATCAACCCCGCTGGGTGGGAATCCCTTGCAGACAACCACTGTGCCTGGAGAATTCTACTCCTCCCACGCTGCAGATGTGTGGGATTGTCACATGTCTGCTTACATTCCAGCACAGATTGTTGGAGTCTCGTGAGCAGAACATCCGCTCTGTATTGCGTTTCTGTTCTCTCTCCGAAAAGAACTACAGGGAGAGAAGCCATGTTTTCTTTGGCCTGATATATGTACAATAAACATAGCCTAGTATCCACGCCTCGAGAAAAGCAATGACAAACCTAGATAGCATCTTAAAAAGTAGAGACATCACCTTGCCAACAAAGGTCCGTATAGTTAAAGCTATGGTTTTCCCAGTAGTGATGTATGGAAGTGAGAGCTGGACCATAAAGAAGGCCGATCGCCGAAGAATTGATGCTTTTGAATTATGGTGCTGGAGGAGACTCTTGAGAGTCCCATGGACTGCAAGAAGATCAAACCGATCCATTCTTAAGGATATCAGCCCTGAGTGCTCAGTGGAAGGACAGATCCTGAAGCTGAGGCTCCAATACTTTGGCTACCTCATGAGAAGAGAAGACTCCCTGGAAAAGAACCTGAGTTGGGAAAGATGGAGGGCACAAGGAGAAGGGGACGACAGAGGACGAGATGGTTGGACAGTGTTCTCGAAGCTACCAGCATGAGTCTGACCAAACTGCGGGAGGCAGTGGAAGACAGGAGTGCCTGGCGTGCTCTGGTCCATAGGGTCACGAAGAGTCGGACACGACTAAACAACTAAACAACAACAGTATCCACGCCTCAAGCCAGATCTGTTGTGTGTTTACTCTGCTGAGTAACGTGTGCTCACACACAGCAGCATGAGTCGCAGACGTCCGTCGGAGGAGGGTGACTGATGGATCTCCGCAGCGGCAAGCCTGAGAAGGGAGACGCTCCAGCTGGGATCTGTCCAGCTGGCTTTCCATCCCACGGTTCCGACAGTTGTGTCGTTCATCCATAGCAGTGACCAGAGGAGGAATGACTGCACAACGGGGACGCCTTTCTCTGCCCCAGCTGCAGATGAAAACTTGTCTCTTATGTATCAGTCTCTACAGCCACAGAAAGTGATGTAACTCTGCAACAGTTTGACTTCACCCCTGATGGTGCACTTTTCCACGGTTTCTCAAGACAGACAGATGCCAACAACAGGCCAAGGGCTGCGAAAAAGTTTTTCAGTACAATTTTAAAACAAACCAAGGCTGACAGTGAAGCAATGCCCAAGTGAATGGCTCAGTTGTCAAACCTTCACAGCACCCATCAAAACCAACCCTACATGTGCCCACATCTCCCTTCTTGAACCACTGTGAACGGTGGAATTGGCACTCTACAGGTGCCACGTAAGACCCTGTTCCACATTTGTAAGAATGAGATCGCTGAATGCGGCATCACCTACATTTCAGAATTCCTTGCCATTTGGTATCAGCAGGCGCCTTTGCGGAGCTCTTTTCGGCACCTGCTAAAAACATTCTGTCCAGATACTTAGAAGGTTGGTGTGAATTTTAACCTGTTTCAGTATTTTAACTTTTTGTGTGTTTTAAAGTACTGTAGATTTTTCATGCTGTTATTGTTTTGTGATTTTGTAAGCCACCAAATTTCTCCCCTGCCCCTACTTCTAAACAGGTGTGGACAAGGTTGCATCCTAAACCCATCTTTTACTTGGCACCTCAGAGGCACAGTCTGGAGCACGTTTTTGCAAGGGGAGCCAATAATCAATCTCCAAAGAGCAGACTGGATCAGTCACCTCTTTAAATGGATATCCAGAGGAAGCTAGTGAAATGTGGCAACATAAAGGAGATGTTGAGCCAGCAGAAGGACTTTAGACACACCAATGAATTGCTAGAATATGACCAGAGATGCTTCAATCTGACCATATTTGGCCATACTGCAGAATGCACCCCTTTTGCTCTTTGCCCTGAGAGGCTACAGGAGATGTATTTATGTATTTATGATATTTCTTTATTGCACATGTGGTTTAAAACAAAACCTGTTTCAGCAGATAAGCTGAGGTATAAGACCAGGGGCAGATTGGATAGGTAAGTGGAGCGAGGAAGGAAAAGATTTTGCATTTACTGGGATCCCCGTGAGATTGACAGCAAAGGCGACTGCATCTCCCTCAGGTAAGTATGAAACAGGACTCAGCACCCACGGTTTCTCTGCCTGATCCTTCCTGTTCTGTTTGTCTCCTTTCTACTCTGTAGAATTACAGAACTGTAGAGTTGGAAAGGACCCCAAGGGTCAACTAGTCCAACCCCTGCAATGCAGGAATCACAACTACAGAATCCCTGACAGTTGGCCATCCCACCTCTCTTTAAAAAAACTCTAACTTATGATCAGAAGGAAGGTGAGCTGTGGTGGAAATAGCAGCTTTCTTGCCTTGCCTTTGGGCAAAAATGGCAATGCAGAGAGAAAACGGGCAGCACTGATTTATCAAGGAGAGGCAAAATGCATCTGTCTGTGCTGGGTAAGTTGGGCAAACCAGGGGCAAATTGAGCGGTGCCATCTTAATTCGTATTGACACCAGAAGGCACCTTTGCTGTATTGTTCTCAGAGCCTGATGGCACTTTTCTCCGTCAGGCAAGCCTCTCTAAATGTGTAAAGTTGACGTGTATTCCAAGGAGTAAATCTTTTTTGGTATGTGTATGTACTTAAACGCCAGCTTTGTTTGCATTTGGCAGATTTCTTAGCTTGATTTGTTTCTTACTCCTGACTCATATGGCTAATTCTAAAGTGCATTTTTAGAGAGTTGCACTCTCAAGGTGGATGAAAATGAATGAAGTTACCTGGGATGGGGCTTGCTTGGTTTCCCTGAAGCTGGAGAATACATTAGTGTTGCATAGCTTGTCTCTAATCTCTCTTGTCCCCACCCTTGTGCTAAAGCAGCTGCCTGAAATCTGTCCCGTCTTGCATTCCCTACAGATCCATTCAAAATGGCGGAGGATGAGGTTGCCGCTCTGGTCGTGGACAACGGCTCCGGAATGTGCAAAGCGGGATTTGCGGGAGACGATGCTCCACGGGCCGTGTTCCCCTCCATCGTGGGGCGGCCCAGGCACCAGGGGGTCATGGTGGGGATGGGCCAGAAGGACAGCTATGTGGGGGATGAGGCACAGAGCAAGAGGGGCATCCTCACCCTGAAGTACCCCATCGAACATGGCATCGTCGGCAACTGGGATGACATGGAGAAGATCTGGCACCACACCTTCTACAACGAGTTGCGGGTGGCCCCCGAGGAGCACCCAATCTTGCTCACGGAAGCCCCCCAGAATCCGAAGGTGAACCGTGAGAAGATGACGCAGATCATGTTTGAGACTTTCAACACGCCAGCCATGTACGTGGCCATCCAGGCCGTACTGTCGCTCTATGCTTCTGGCCGCACCACTGGGATTGTCATGGACTCCGGGGACGGGGTGACCCACACGGTGCCCATCTATGAGGGCTATGCCCTGCCTCACGCCATCAAGCGCCTGGACCTGGCTGGTCGTGACCTGACTGACTACCTCATGAAGATCCTGACTGAGAGGGGCTACAGCTTTGTCACCACGGCCGAGAGGGAGATAGTGCGGGACATCAAGGAGAAGCTCTGCTACGTGGCCCTGGACTTTGATCAGGAGATGGCCACAGCCAGCTCGTCTTCCTCTCTGGAGAAGAGCTATGAGCTGCCGGACGGGCAGGTGATCACCATTGGCAACGAGCGCTTCCGGTGCCCTGAGGCCCTCTTCCAGCCCTCCTTCCTGGGCTTGGAGTTGGCTGGCATCCATGAGGAAACCTACAACTCCATCATGAAATGCGATGTGGACATCCGCAAGGACCTGTATGCCAACACAGTGCTCTCTGGTGGCAGCACCATGTACCCCGGCATTGCTGACCGGATGCAGAAGGAGATCACATCCCTGGCCCCCAGCACGATGAAGATCAAGATCATCGCCCCGCCAGAGCGCAAATATTCGGTGTGGATCGGGGGCTCCATCCTGGCCTCTCTCTCCACCTTCCAGCAGATGTGGATCAGCAAGCAGGAGTACGATGAGTCTGGCCCATCCATCGTCCACCGCAAATGCTTCTAACAATGCAAGCAGCCAACCTCTTCTGGCCAAGTCAAGATATATTGGGGCCTTGCTTTTATCTGTTGAATTCTGTCCTCTTGCAGGATATTTAGTATTTATCCAGTTCTTGATTTGGCTCCTGCATTGGGCAACCTTCGTCCACCGCTTTGCCAAGGCTTCTCCACAGCTGCACTCTTAATAATAATAATAATAATGATAATATATTATTTCTACTCCTGACACTCTGATTGATTGTGTACCACCTTTGCCTTTTCTTTTTTATGATTCATGTGGAGTTCAGTACTTTATTACTATACATTTTCTCTGTCAAACAAAACAAGCGAATAAAGTCATGCTAAATGAAGTAAAAATTGGTGTACTTCTTGTAGTAAACGACTCTCTTGATAACCACAGCTTTTTGGAGCTAACACGTAACATGAAGCCAATCTACTGCTCAGCGTTGCAGCGAGACAGATTGGGGGTACAGGGACCCACACTTGTGGTTTCTGTTTCACTTGTCCCCATGTCCTGCTGCCACAGCGTCCAGAGTGAGTAAGTAAGTACCGGTAAGTAAATTTTTATTTATACCCCGCCCTCCCCGGTCAAGACCGGGCTCAGGGTGGCTAACATCAAATATCAAATACATTAAAACACAATCAAACCTTTGATTAAAATACAGCTTAAAAATTAGAATCAGGATAAAATTAAATGACTGCCCATGAATTACAACCATGGGGTCGGAGACCTCAAGTATTCATCAGGGCCAGCTATCCATGTTGGCCCCACATGATCCGATAAAAGGGCCAAAGAGGTAACTTACAGGGTCCCATAGGGTCAAACTGGGCCCAGACCGAAGGCCAGGCGGAACAGCTCTGTTTTGCAGGCCCTGTGGAAGGATGTCAAGTCCCACAGGGCCCTAGTCTCCTGTGATAGTGTTCCACCAGGCTGGGGCCAAAGCCGAAAAGGCCTTGGCCCTGGTTGAGGCCAGTTTAACCTCCTTGAGGCCCGGGACCTCCATGATATTATTATTTGTGAACCATAAGTTCCTCCGCGGGGCATACCAGGAGACGCAGTCCCATAATATGAGGGTCCTAGGCTGCATAGAGCTTAATAATAATAATAATAATAATAATAATAATATTTATTTATATCCCGCCCTCCCCAGCCAAAGCCGGGCTCAGAGCGGCTAACATCAAATGTATAATACATTAACATAAAATCAGACAATCAATTAAAATACATCCTCAAATCAGATCAGGATCAGAATAAAATCCAATCGGATGGCAACCCGCAGATTAGGGTTGGGAACCTTAAATGCTCACCAGGCCCAACTGTTTGTGCTGAATTTATATGGGCCTGTGAGAAAAAATTGGGAGGCCACTTTCATGCAAGTTCTTATGAAAGGGGAGAGGGAAAGAGGCCCTGCGGAAAGATGTTAAAACCAGCACCTTAAACCTGACCCTGTACTCCACCGGGAGCGAGTGCAGCTGGTATAGCACTGGGTGAATGTGATCCCGCAGCAAGGACCCCATAAGGAGCCTCGCCGCAGCATTCTGCACCCGCTGGAATTTCTGGGTCAGCTTCAAGGGCAGCCCCGCGTAGAGCAAGTTACAATAATCGAGCCTGGGGGTAATTGTCGCATGGATCACTGTGGCTAGATGAGGGCGAGAAAGGTAAGGGACCCACAGCTTAGCATGGCGAAGGTGGAAAAATGCCGCCTTTGCTGTAGCTGCAACCTGCGCCTCCATAGAGAGGGAGGTGTCAAAGGTTACACCCAAACTCCTGACGGAAGGCGCTGGCACTAATTGAGACCCCGCAAGAGATGGGAGTTGGCCCCCCAACCCCATGTCGTCCCAACCCAGCCAGAGGACCTCTGTCTTCAAAGGATTTAACTTCAACCGGCTCCCACATGTTGAGTCAGCAGAAGGACTTTTTTTTAAGACACACCAATGAATTGCTAGAATATGACCAGAGATGCTTCAACCTGACCATATTTGGCCATACTGCAAAATGCAGCCCTTTTGCTCTTTGCCCTGAGAGGCTACGGGAGGTGTATTTATGATATTTCTTTACTGCACACGTGGTTTCCAATAAAACCATTTTCAACAGATAAGCTGAGGTATAAGACCAGGGGGCAGACTGGATAGGAACAGGTAAGTGGAACGAGGAAGGAAAAGATTTTGCGTTTACTGGGATCCCCGTGAGATTAACAGCAAAGGCGACCGCATCTCCCTCAGGTAAGTATGAAACAGGACTCAGCACCCACGGTTTCTCTGCCTGATCCTTCCTGTTCTGTTTGTTTCCTTTCTACTCTGTAGAATGACAGAACTGTAGAGTTGGAAGGGACCCCCAAGGGTCATCTAGTCCAACCCCTGCAATGCAGGAATCACAAATACAGAATCCCTGACAGTTGGCCATCCCACCTCTCTTTAAAAACCTCTAGCTTATGATCAGAAGGAAGGTGAGCTGTGCTGGAGGGAGGGAGGAAAGGAAAGGCTGTAGCTGAACGGGGTAGCACCTGCCTTGTACGCAGGTCCTGGGTTCAATCCCAGATAGGACTGGGAGGGGCCCCTGCTGAAAATCCTGGAGAGCTGCGGCTGCCCACCGGTGTGGATCACCCTGAGCCAGATGGACCAAAGGTCTGATCTCATACAAGGCACCTTTTTGAGCTCCTAGGCTAAATTCAAAACGGCAGCCTGGGCAGTTGCAGGGGCCTTGGCACAGCAGCAGAGCGCAGAGGTTGTTCCTGGCATCCCCAGGTGGAAAGAAGCAGTTGTCCGGAGACCCAAGAGCGGCTGCTGGTCAGGGTAAGCAATGCAGTGGGCTAAATGGACTGACGACCAGACTTGGTCTATGGGCAGAGTTTTGCTAGAGAGTAGCTGTAGCTCAGGGACGGAGCCTGTGGTCTGAATCGGAACACAGGAATCATTTCCAAGAAGCTGTAGGACTGAGCAGCTGCGCAGGAGCAACCGGAGAATTGGTCACCATCTTCCCTAGACCCTGAACTTCCCACCTTACATTCCAGGGAAATGGGGTACCCACCAGATACTGCTGAACTACAACTCCCAGTGGCTCCAGCTAGCACAACTAGTAGTCCGGGATGAGGGCAGCTATAGTCCAGAAACATCTGCTGAGCCCCATATAGGCTACCCCGTCATGATTATTTATTTCACGGATATACCCCCTTTCCTTCAAGCAGCTCAGAGTGCCATACGTGCAATTTTATATGGCAGGGGGGAAAAGCAAGGATAAAATTAGAAGTAATGACGGGCCCAAAGGAAAGTGGAAGATTCGCAGTGCCAGATTTAAGAAAGTATTTTGAGGCAGCGTGTTGGATAAAAAAATGGATATTATTAAAAGATAATGAAGTCCTAACATTAGAGGGCTGGGACAAAATATACGGCTGGCACAGCTATTTATTCTATGACAAAAAAGAACAACATAAAAAATTTACAAATCACATAGTAAGAAAGGCTCTATTGGATGTCTGGGAAAGAACAAAAGGGAAAATTATTGAGAAAACTCCCCAATGGGTTTCGCCAGTGGAAGCAACTACAACATTAAAGAGTAATGTAAAAGAGACTTGGCCAACATTTAGGGAAATATTAGAGGATGCAGACGGAAATACTAAATTAAAAACTTACGAACAATTACAAACATTTGGAATAAATTGGTTACAATATTATCAATTAAAAGCAACATATGAAAAAGACATAAAAAGGGGGGGATTTGAAAATAAAACCTCAAAATTAGAAAAGGAAATATTGCAGAGCGATCAAAAAATACTTGCAAAAATGTATAGATTATTAATGAAAACCAGCTTAGAACAAGAGACGAAAGGGGAAAACATGTTAAAATGGGAGCATGATTTGGGATATGAGATAGATCTGGAAAGATGGAAAACTTTTTGGGAGGAAAACATAAATTTTACTGTGTGTGATTTATTAAGGGAGAATTTCAGAAAAATTCACCACAGATGGTACTTAACCCCTGACAGACTGTCAAAAATAAATAAAAGGAACAACGACAAATGTTGGAAATGTAACAGAACAAAAGGTACGTTATACCACATGTGGTGGACTTGCCCAAAGATTAAAACCTTTTGTGACATGATTCATGACGAAATAAAAAAATTGATAAGGACATCACACACAAAAAAGGCAGAGGCATATCTATTAGGAATTCTAGATAAAGATATCCCAAAAGATAAGAGTAACTTATTTCTATACGCGACAACAGCAGCAATAATTTTGATTGCTAGCTATTGGAAAGAGGAAAGCATCCCAACAAAAAGAGAATGGTTGGGGAAACTTTGTGAGTACCTGGAATTAGCAAAATTGACAGATATAATAAGGAGAAAATCTGAAACTATGGTTATGAAGCAATGGGAGTGCTTAAATGATTATTTACAAAACCAGGGCTCAACTACAAAAATCTGGTTGTATTTAGAATAATCTTGTGTGTAATATAAAAAATACAAAGTGAGACATTAAGGAAATCAAAAGGGAAAATATGAAGAACAGAGGTTCTGACGAACGGATTATTAAAAACGCGTGAGGTAAACGGTGGAAGTCTTATTTTCTTTTCAAAAGAAACAATTTATTTAAGGTAGATAAGGACAAGATGAAATTATACAATTGAATATAAATAGAGATGGGAAACGGCTATGTATTGTGAGTACTTATCTACTTTTAAAAATTTTCGCATATGATCTTTTTATTTTACTTCTTTATTCTTTCTTTGTTCTTTTTTCCTTTTTTCCGATATCTTATCTTTATCACTGCTTTATTGTAAACAGCATTTTATAGAGGTATAAATAACTGTAAATATGAAAAGAGACAAAATATTCTCAAATTCTTTTTCCATGGTTAGATGTATTTTCTTTTTCTTTTGTATTTTCTTTTGTTGTGAATATGTATGTCTTTATAATTTGTACTTAATAAAATTATTTTAGAAAAAGAAAAAGAAAAAACAGGTTGCCATACGTGCCCCCTGCCCTGCTTTAATCTTCACAACAACCTTGCAAGGTAAATTATCCTGAGAGACAGTGACTGCCTCCAGGTCATCCGGTGATTTGAACCCAGATCTTCCTGGTCCTGGTCCAACATAACATCTGGATCAGGAGAAAGCTTTGGACCGGTGTCTGGATGCAGTGGTGGACTGGGCGAGGGCCCATCATCTGTGCTTGACTCCTGGGAAGATGGGGGCTCTATGCAAAGGTAGCTCCCATGTTCGGGAAATTGGCAAGTTACCTGTTCTGGATGGAGTTGCACGCCCTCTGAAGAGGCAGGTGGGATGACATGGAGAAGATCTGGCACCATGTCTTCTAAAACAAGATGCCGGTGGCCCCCTAGGAACATCTGGTCTTGTTTAGCAAACATGCAACGGTGAAACTGTGCGGTCTAGTTACCCCTGCTTCCAATTTGTTTTTATTTCTTCATATACCGCCACCCTCCTCTCATCAAATAAATCCTTTGTTTTCTCTTCTGAACCTTCCGATATTCAGCTTTGTTGGATGTCCACAAATTCTCATGTCACAAGAGAGGAAGCAAAACTTTTCCTGTCCAATTTCTCCACGCTATGCACAATTCGTTAGAAGTCTATCGTGTTGCCTCTTTCTTTCTTTAAACCAAAAGAGGCCCTAATGCTATTTTCTCATAGGACAGAAATATCAAATACTTCAGCAATAGAAAAAGATTTTTAAAATAGTAATAAATTAAGCAGTTCAGAACTATCATTAAAATGACTGGCTAAAGGTAAAGGGACCCCCTGACTGTTAGGTCCAGTCACGGACGACTCTGGGGTTGCGGCGCTCATCTCACTTTATTGGCCGAGGGAGCCGACGTTTGTCCGCAGACAGCTTCCGGGTCATGTGGCCAGCATGATTAAGCCGCTTCTGGCGAACCAGAGCAGTGCACGGAAAAGCTGTTTACCTTCCTGCCGGAGCGGTACCTATCTATCTACTTGCACTTTGACGTGCTTTCGAACTGCTAGGTGGGCAGGAGCAGGGACCGAGCAACGGGAGCTCACCCCATCACGGGGATTCAAACCGCCAACCTTCTGATTGGTAAGCCCTAGGCTCTGTGGTTTAGACCACAGCACCACCCACCTCCCAAGGAAAAACCTGGCTACTCAAGAAAAATTAAAATGACTGCATACAAATGTAACAGATGGGGCAAATACGGCCTTATAGAATCATAGAATTGTAGAGTTGGAAGGGACCGCAAGGGTCATCTAGTCCAACCCCCTGCAATGCAGGAATCTTTTGCCCAATGTGGGGTTTGAACCCACAACCCCGAGATTCAAAATCTCAGGCTCTACTGATTGAGCTGAGTTGTTGTAAAAAAATACACGTGCTCTTTTCCTAAAATGGTGGAACAACCTGGTAAAGAAAATGCTTGTTAGTGTGATGTGAAACTTTTTCAGAAAATCAAACCTCTGCTTCTTTAGAATGGGCTGAAGTTTGAAAGTGACTGCAGAATAGTTTTAGGGAGAGAAGCACTGTGACTCCTCACTCATGAGAATGGGTGGCCGTAAAGGGGAAATAGCAGCTTTCTTGCCTTGCCTTTGGGCAAAAATGGCAATGCAGAGAGAAAACGGGCAGCACTGATTTATCAGGGAGAGGCAAAATGCAACTGTCTGTGCTGGGTAAGTTGACCAAACCAGGGGCAAATTGAGTGGTGCCATCTTAATTCGTATTGACACCAGAAGGCACCTTTGCTGTATTGTTCTCAGAGCCTGATGGCACTTTTCTCCATCAGGCAAGCCTCTCTAAATGTGTAAAGTTGACGTGGATTCCATGGAGTAAATCTTTTTTGGTATGTGTATGTACTTAAACGCCAGCTTTGTTTGCATTTGGCAGATTTCTTAGCTTGATTTGTTTCTTACTTCTTAATCATATGGATAATTCTAAAGTGCATTTTTAGAGAGTTGCACTCTCAAGGTGGATGAAGCTGGAGAAGACATTAGTGTTGCATAGCTTGTCTCTAATCTCTGTTGTCTAAAGTGTCTCCACCCTTGTGCTAAAGCAGCTGCCTGAAGTCTGTCCCGTCTTGCATTCCCTACAGATCCATTCAAAATGGCGGAGGATGAGGTTGCCGCTCTGGTCGTGGACAACGGCTCTGGAATGTGCAAAGCGGGATTTGCGGGAGACGATGCTCCACGGGCCGTGTTCCCCTCCATCGTGGGGCGGCCCAGGCACCAGGGGGTCATGGTGGGGATGGGCCAGAAGGACAGCTATGTGGGGGATGAGGCACAGAGCAAGAGGGGCATCCTCACCCTGAAGTACCCCATCGAACATGGCATCGTCGGCAACTGGGATGACATGGAGAAGATCTGGCACCACACCTTCTACAATGAGTTGCGGGTGGCCCCCGAGGAGCACCCAGTCTTGCTCACGGAAGCCCCCCAGAATCCGAAGGGGAACCGTGAGAAGATGACGCAGATCATGTTTGAGACTTTCAACACGCCAGCCATGTACGTGGCCATCCAAGCCGTACTGTCGCTCTATGCTTCTGGCCGCACCACTGGGATTGTCATGGACTCCGGGGACGGGGTGACCCACACAGTGCCCATCTATGAGGGCTATGCCCTGCCTCACGCCATCAAGCGCCTGGACCTGGCTGGTCGTGACCTGACTGACTACCTCATGAAGATCCTGACTGAGAGGGGCTACAGCTTCGTCACCACGGCCGAGAGGGAGATAGTGCGGGACATCAAGGAGAAGCTCTGCTACGTGGCCCTGGACTTTGATCAGGAGATGGCCACGGCCAGCTCGTCTTCCTCTCTGGAGAAGAGCTATGAGCTGCCGGATGGGCAGGTGATCACCATTGGCAACGAGCGCTTCCGGTGCCCTGAGGCCCTCTTCCAGCCCTCCTTCCTGGGCTTGGAGTTGGCTGGCATCCATGAGGAAACCTACAACTCCATCATGAAATGCGATGTAGACATCCGCAAGGACCTGTATGCCAACACAGTGCTCTCTGGTGGCAGCACCATGTACCCCGGCATTGCTGACCGGATGCAGAAGGAGATCACATCCCTGGCCCCCAGCACGATGAAGATCAAGATCATCGCCCCACCAGAGCGCAAATATTCGGTGTGGATCGGGGGCTCCATCCTGGCCTCTCTCTCCACCTTCCAGCAGATGTGGATCAGCAAGCAGGAGTACGATGAGTCTGGCCCATCCATCGTCCACCGCAAATGCTTCTAACAATGCAAGCAGCCAACCTCTTCTGGCCAAGTCAATATATATTGGGGCCTTGCTTTTATCTGTTGAATTCTGTCCTCTTGCAGGATATTTAGTATTTATCCAGTTCTTGATTTGGCTCCTGCATTGGGCAACCTTTGTCCACCGCTTTGCCAAGGCTTGTCCACAGCTGCACTCTTAATAATAATAATAATATATTATTTATACCCCAGCCACTCTGATTGATTGTGTACCACCTTTGCCGTTTCTTTTTTATGATTCATGTGGAGTTCAGTACTTTATTACTATCCATTTTCTCTGTCAAACAAAACAAGCCAATAAAGTCATGCTAAATGAAGTAAAAATTGGTGTGCTTCTTGTAGTAAATGACTCTCTTGATAACCACAGCTTTTTGGAGCCAACACATAACATGAAGCCAATTTCCTGCTCAGCGTTGCAGCGAGCCAGATTTGGGGTACAGAGAGCCACACTTGTGGTTCTGCTTCACTTTCCCCCATGTCCTGCTGCCACAGCGTCCAGAGCTGAGCGGTAGTTTGGCTGAGCGTCCCCTCTGGACACGGGCCTTATGGTTGGTCTCGCTCCAAACAGACCATGAGCTGTAGCCAAGGGTCGCTTGTTTACACTGACCCAGGGCTTACACTGAGGAAGTTCCCAGGGTTACAATGGCTACAAATGCAATGCAGTTTGCTCCCTAAAGGGATCACGCCTCACATTCCCAAGCCTTAATCTGAGACATGACTGCTCTAAAAATTCGAGAATGTGATAATAATGAATGCTAAGTTGTGAATTTAGCAAAGGGGAGGCCTAACTTATGAATATGACCATCATCCCATATCCCATCATCCCTGATCACTGGGCAAGGTGGCAGCAGCTGGAGGAAGTACCAACCTCTGGGGTGGGGTCATTTAATAATTTTAAAAAACCTGAATATACAGCTCCATGCAAGTCAACAGTCAGCATCATTGAGCAGTTTATTTATTATAGATTGCATTTATGTATTTCCTTAAATGTCATAAACAGGGAAACCTCCATCCAACTCAAACCCACCTTGCAATATCTGTTTGTTTTATTAGCTGGATTAAATCTGCCTTTTAACAAGTGCCCCCAAAGTACCTGAACAGACAAATTCTTATAAACCACCATACGTTCTGTGGCTTATTAGAACACCGTTTTCTAAAAAAGGATAAAGTCGGCTGTGAAAACCGGTGAAATGGATGGAAATAAATTCCTGGGAGAATAGGTGCAGGGAGAGAGCCCCAGAATTTGGGTTCCACAGCAGAGAGGCCCTGTCTCTGATAGCCATGGGGCACATTTTATTTATTTCATTTATTCTATGGTATTGTGATTCCTGCATTTCAGGGGGTTGGAATACTAGATGATTCGCGGGAGTCCTACAGTCAGAGACCGGCAAGGTCTAGAGTCCAACCCCGTGCAATGCAGGAATCAGCTGGACAACATGCTGGCTGCAAATATATCCGGGATCGAACCCGCAGCCTTCCAAGTGCGAGTTTCAGGCGCTCTGCCTCCAGGCCACGGCCCCCCACGGAAGGGGGCGCCATAATCTGAACGAAGAGCTACTGGCGCGCGTGCGCACTACCTCTGAGAAGCGGCTATCAACGCTGCTGCGCCACGAGCCGTTCATATTTCCCGGAACGGACTCATCCTGACGCCCATTGGCTGTTGATTATGGAGTCCCGCCCGTCCACTCCTTGGCCCCGCCCCTCTCCCTCCTCGGCCTGCTTCTTATCGGTTGCTATGGTGATTTTGCAAAAAGAGGCACCTGCCCCGCACTCTCAGCCTCTATGGTTGACTCCTCGGTGGGGATCTCTCCCTCCTTTTTCTTTTTAGTGCCACCTACATTTTCCTTTCCCCTCACTTTTTCCTGTGGAAACAGAGAATCATTACACAAGAAAACCCCCAGGCGGAGTTAATAAATAGCGAACATTTTACACATTTTAGTCCAAACTTCCGGTCGGAAGCGTCCCGTCTATGGCCGCAGACGGTGTCACTCTAGCTGCCGTCTCTATGGCGGGAGAGGCATGGAGATGGCAAGGGCCGGAGTGTCTCGGAGAGCGAGCCATAGAGAAACGGAACAGAGCGTCGTCTCCGGAGTCGAGTGACGCGCCTCTCGAGTCGTTCCGTTTGCAGGGACGGGGGGAGCTTCTCCGTGGAATAAGCTCCACTTAGCCTAACGGGCCTCCCATCCTCCCTTTCCCCCCCTATTATCTTGTTATTCATTTAATAATTTAAATAATCGTCTCTCCCCCCCCAACCCGGAAGTGGTTGCTCGCCTCCCGAGTCCCCGTTGGTGACGCTACTTCCGGTGCTCTGTCAAACAGGTCCCCCGCACCGCCTGTGTCCTCCGCTTCCGGTCCGGCCGAGGGAGGGAGGGACCACGGGACGGGGCGGGGGTGTTTGGGGGCGCGGCTGAGGCGGCGGCTGCTGCTGCTGCGCGCGAGACCCCGCCGGAGCGGGCGGTTGCCTGCCTGCCTCCTGGGCTGCCTGGCTGTTGAGGTCGCCGCGCTGAGGTAAAGAGGCGGCCTGTCGGCGGGGGTGGGAGTGAGGGGAGTCGCGGGGCTGCGGGAGTTGGCGCGGCGGGCGGCGGCCGCTCGTGAGGCGCGGAGTTACCTGCGGGAAGCGTCTTGGCGCTGCCTCCGCCCGGCGAGAAGGGGCTTCCTCGCGAGTAAGCCGGCGGCGCTTCCTCCCTCAGGTTCGGGCTGCAGAGCAGCTGCTGGTGGCTCCGGGCGCGCGTCGACCTGGCGGTCTCGGCGGGGCTTCTCTCAGGACCGTGGCGGGGCCCTTGGGCGCCCCCGGGGAACGGGGCTCGCCCGCAGGAGCTGCACTCTCCGCCACGCGTTATCTTCCGACCCTGACTGAGAGGAATCCTATCCTGCTGCGCGGTCTTACTCTCGAGGAAGGGCCGTGGGGCGCCTTTGGGTTGCTCCACCTCCCATACTATCGGGAGCCGCTTTTGAGGAGGGATAAGAAAGTTCTCTATATGTGTGAAAAACAGCTAAGTTAAAAGAGATCCTGCACAGTAAGCCCCTATTTATTACAGTGGGACTTATTTTCTCTGAGAGGGTTTGTTTGTGTCTGTTTGTGTGGAAAGCATAGAATTTCGTAGTGAACTTCAGAGGGTGTAATGCCTTTTCTGGGAAGGGAAGTATACAAACTTTCACCATTGCCACAGTTTTAAGTTGAAGAATTCTGGATGCTTAGTTGTGTTTTCTGCTTCAGTTGAAATGCACCATGTCCTGAATCTGCTGCCGCCAATTCAGTTCCACTTGGGATCTAGTGTCAAGGGGGTAGGAGAACTGTTTTTAGTTGTGGCTGTAATTTTATAGACCTATAACATTATAAATCTTCTGTGATTAGAAGCTAGGTTAGGTGCAGCACAGAGAAGTCTATGGAGAAGTGACTGTTGAACGCTCTGGTTGTGCCAATACAAACCATTAATTCATCAGATGGGGGTAAAGCTGACTATAGGAGAGAAGGTAGGGAAAAGGTTAATAATAACAGGGCTTTTTCTACCAGAATACCTAAAATCAGAGCAGCCCAGTTATGTGTACATCCAATCCCATTGTAGCTCAATTTCCAGCAAGCAGCAGTGACTCTTACCCCCCCCCCATATATTTTTCAGGTGTGGTTTTACCCAGTGCTCCCCCCACCCCCACAAAATAGGGGCTGGTACTCACCAAGAAGTTGTTGCAGTAAGTGCAACAATTTTTAACAAAAGAGAAAGAAAGTGGGTGTGCACGCACGCACTGGTACTGCACACGTGTTACATGAAGAAGGGGATGTGGGTGATGGAAACAAGTACACACATATATGATAAAGGACCCCTGAGCATTAGGTCCAGTCGTGGCCGACTCTGGGGTTGTGGTGCTCATCTCACTTTATTGGCCGAGGGAGCTGGCGTACAGCTTCCGGGTCATGTGGCTAGCATGACTAAGCTGCTTCTGGCGAACCAGAGCAGCGCACGGAAACGCCGTTTACCTTCCCGCCGGAGCGGTACCTATTTATCTACTTGCACTGGTGTGTTTTCGAACTGCTAGGTTGGTAGGAACAGGGACCAAGCAACGGGAGCTCACCCCGTCGTGGGGATTCGAACCGCCGACCTTCTGATCGGCAAGCCCTAGGCTCTGTGGTTTAGCCCACAGCGCCAAACGCGTCCCCACATATATGATACTAGAGTATTAAGTGGAATGGGCAGTGATGTTGGGTGTGTTTTTCTCATAACATTGTGCAGAGGTTTTTTTTTAAGTATATTGGGGAGTGTATCTTGATCTTTAGGGTCTTTCATGGTATGCCCTGAAGAAGTGGCGGTATGGCGTCAGCAGGCTTTTCTTTCTCCTTTAAGGCTGCAGTCTGAAGTACATATATCAGGATGCAGGACTTGGTGGGACTTACTCTGCACATAAGCATGGTTAAAGTCAGTGCACAGATACTGTTCAAAGATTGAAACGCAGATGCAACTGGATGTCCACAAATGAACACTACAAATCCAACCTGTATTTGCTGGGGACAGGGATATTTCAATGAAACAAAGGGTATGGCCAGCACATGCAATCTGAAATTGATTGTGCACATTGAAAATTGGGGGAAGCACTCTTGGGACTGAACTGCTATGATAGGGATTTGATGGTTGCCTGAATACTTAAGGTGTGGCTGCCCTTGCTCAGGTCCCTTTCTTTAGCACTGGAGGCTGGTAGGGTTTTGCATTCATGTCTAATTGTAGCCTTCGGCAAGGATGCATCCGTCTTGCTGGAACCTGCCAAGTAGAGTTGTTCTGGACCTGGGTGAGACCTGCAGGAACCAGAGAGAGAGCACAGCAAATGTTCCCACACCTGAAGTGTTTACTGGACACAGCAAGAGAATGCCAGGTCATGAATTATAGTATTGGACCTGTAGCACATGTTCCCTGTTTGTTCTTTTGTGGATCTTCACCTGTGGCACTGTAGACAACTTACAGTAATGTCCTTAAATCATGTTCCAAGAAAAGTATTTTATAGATGTCACAGCTCTTTTATCCAAAATCCATAGTTGTCCTTGCAGTTTATAAACAGTATGTAAACAGTATGTCAAGTACTAGTTCAGGCATTACAAGATTGCTTGTGGCATTCTAATCTAACTGAAAGCATGGCGTTGGGATTGATGGGATGATTGCACTATGAGCTCTTGAGCATTTCTCCCTGACTTATAGCTAAGGGATTAGTTTGATTTTGATGTACTGTAGCTCAGCAGAACATTTGAGACGCACACTGGAAATTCTTGGTCTTCTTTTGGTTGTTTGGTGTTCTCCAAAATGAGATATGGGCTTGTTCTACTTGTTCTTGAAACTGCATACTTAGTCTTAGCAAAATAACCTCTTTCATTTAGAGAGAAGTTATTTTGCTAAATGTCAGAATACAATCTTAAGAGGCAAAGAAAAAGAAGCAAGTTTATTTTAAAGTTTCAGTAGATGGACGGGGGGCGGGGAAGGAAAGCATCAACACTTTGTTCAGTTGCTGTTTGCATTTTGCTTTCTTGTATATTAAAATTCTGTTTCCTGACTATCCCTCTTGCCTTGTAAAAATGATGTGTACAAAATTCACACTGGGAGGTGAATTTTTTCATGAAGTGCCATCATTGCATATGGCACTTTTGGCAGGTTGTTCCTCTTATACTTTCTAATGTAAAATTTGATATGGGGAAGAAAATTGAAGTATTGCAGAAAATGGGAGCATAATACATTTAGTTCAACTATGTGTATTAGGCACAGCTACAGTAGGGGACAAGGAAAGGGGCTTCATGTCTACCTTATGTTTACCCTTGTAGAGAAGGGATCTCACCAGGACCACTATTACATTTAAAACCTGCAATCGCTAGCTTAGTTCTTCGTTATCAGGAGGTAACTTTCCTTGAGGAGAGTTGATGACATAATTACCAATTGCAAGTTTTCTTGGTGTATCTTGTGAACCATTTGATATTTGCAGGTTGCGATTGTGCTGTGTTTTCCTGCATCCAAAACTGTGAGGCAGGTCTTACTATTATTGGGGCAGTTGCTAAGGGAGAGTGGAACTCTTTCTTGGCACCCTGTTGTTGCTGCCCTGTTGATTGATAGTGCTGAGGCTTTTCTCTCGCCTCTTCTCCCCCCCCCATCCCTTTTCACACACGTTTTGCTTCCCAGGTTGTATGAATGAGGGGCCTGTTGCTGCAACAGTTTTGCAACTGGAGACAGAGTCCAAATGAGTATATAATTGTGTGAATACAAAAGTAGTGAAATCCCTAGCATGTACAGTAGTCACGTAAACAATAAGCTGCTGAAAAAAATGAAACTGGCCCTCTTCAGAGTGTGCAGATTGGGCACACAAACTCTTGTGTCGGATGCCTTGTCACCTTAAGGATGTTTCCACATCTTTGATCTAATCAAAACTGATGCAAAGTTAGTTTCTTGTTTAAAAACATAATAAGAGCTCTTCTGGACCAGGCCAGTGGCTCATGTAGTCCAGCATCCTGCTCTCACAGTCGCCAACCGAAGTCTGTAGGAAGCCTGCAAGCAGGTCCTGAGCGCAACAGCACTCTCCCCTCCGGTGGTTTCTAGCAAATGGAATTCAGAAGGATTTGTTTTATGACATTTTATCCCATCCTCCCACCAAGGAGCTCAGGGTGACGCGTGTTCTTCCCACCTTCCCATTTTATCCTAAACTGGTGAGATTGATTAGGTTGCAAAATAGTGACTGGTCCAGTGTCACCAAGGGAGCTCTGTGGCTCAGTAAGGGATTGTACCCAAGCAAGCCTCCTCACTTCTGGGCCCATACTCCAGACTGCACCACGCTGGCTTTGGCCAGCCTAATCTGATGCACTGAAATAACTGGAGGCTGGAGGAAAGGAACAGAGAGAGTTAAAACAGCCCCTGTTAGCCCCTTGTTGAGTCTAAAAGACTCCTGCTTGGGTTTTGACTGCCAATGCATACAGACAAAGCTCCAGTTTTTCTTATGGTTCTTAAATACTATTGACTGATCAGATTAGTAAAATAGCAGGCAAAGGAAAAAGTTTATTTTGTATGCAAATAAGCTTCTGAATAAAGAGTCATCTGGGGCACTTGATTCAGGATAGGACACTTGAGTACTTAAATAGGTCTCAGTGCTGCTTTTTACTGCTTGGATTGGATTTTGTTTCCTTTTAATTGTGCAAATTTTAAGTATTTTGGGTCTCATTGTGAAGAGATGACAAGAGGTATGGACTTAATAAAAATAGGCTAAAACCTAACACTCAAATATTTCGTAAATTTGACAAGATGGGAGGATGTTCCTTTTGCACAGATCATGAAGCTGGTTCAGGGGCTACACTTCATTAGGGAGAGGAGTTGTAAATGAAAAGGTGCCAAATATGCAGTGAAATCTGGGACTGAATGGCGTGGTTTCTCATTCAGGGGGCGGGGGAATATGAGCTTTGCTTTTTTTCTTCTTGTCCTGGTGGGAGGACTCCTGGTGGGAGGACAGCGGCAAGTAGCTTACACAGGTCAATATTTGTTTTTCAGATTCCACTGCTCTCCAAAGGCTTTGGCTGGAGTCTTCTCCAGCAGAACTCTCACCTTATCGCAGCCATGTTAACAGCAGGATGAAACTGGAGGCTGTCGTGGAGCAGCTGCAAAAGCAGAAGCAGCAGCAACAGCAAGCAGCCCCTCTGCAGATGGATTCCAGGGAGAGGCAACAGAGGCAGATGAGGGAATCCCAGCTGCATTATGCCCAGCAGCTGACGGTGCAGCAAGCTGCTCTTGGTGCCACATCTGGAAAGGCTCCAGGTGGCCCCCTCCTTGGTCCTTCTGCCCGAGTCCCACCTGTGCTTGGGGCTGCCCAGACGTTTGATCAGAGCAGTATGAACTCGGAGGAGGAGGAGGAAGAAGAAGAAGAGGAGGAAGAGGAGGGAGGAGAAGAAGATTTGGAAGATGGTGACCTTGAGGATGATGCACCAAGAACTGGGAAAGAGTCATGTTCCGCTTTGAAGTATTTTCATGCTTCCAAAGTTGCCCCCCACAACCAAAGAGTGGCTTCTTCCTCGAATCCTCTGCCTATTCTAGGGGGGCAGCGGGGACAGCAGGGAAAGGATGAGCAGGGTAATGAGTCTGCCAACCCTCCATATTGTGGTTCATCATCTGGAAGGCAGGCCTGGAGGCTGGATGAGCAGCTCAAGCAGGTCAGTAATAGTGGTTGTTACCCCTGCCACCCGGGTTGACTGTTGGTGGTCCTGGAAGCAGGCACTTCCCTTGAGGGATTCCGTTGGTGCAGCCTTTGCCAACCTGGTGCCCTACAGATATTTTGGACTGCAATTTCCATCAGCTGGTCAGGGCTGATGGGAGTGGTAGTCTAAAAGCATCTGCAGGTAGTAGGTCGGCAGAAAGCTGTGTTAGAGCTTGCCAAATGACTGTCTTGGGCAGATCAAGTATCAATCAATTAAATCTTTATTACGGTCATAGACCAGCATAAGGGCAGATCAAGTAGTTTACCTGCCTATAAAATAATAGGAAAGACTGCAGCACTGTGGTGAAGGCTATTGCAGTCCAATCCCTTGAGAAATGTTAGTTCTGAAAAGGGGGAAAGGTAAATCATAGAATTGTAGAGTTGGAAGGGACCCCTGACGGTTCATCTAGTCCAACCCCCTGCAATGCAGGAATCTCAACTAAAGCATCCAGGACACATGACCCTCCAACCTATGTTTAAAAACCTCCACCTTTCATGGGAGTCTGTCAAAGTGCTCTTGCTGTCAGTTCTTTCTGACATTTAGTTGGAATCTCCTTTCTTGAATCCATTGGTTTAGGTCCTTGCCTCCAGAGCAGGAGAAAACAAGCCTGCCCCATCTGCCATGTGACAGCCCCCTAGCCATTTGAAGATGGCCACCATGTCTCCTCTCAGTCTCCTTCCTCCCAGGCCAAGCGCATCCAACTCCCTCAACCATTCCCCACAAGACCCTTTCTCATCCTGGTCACCCTCCTCTGCATATTGCAGCTTCTCAATATCCTTCTTAAATTGTGCACCAAAACTGGATACAGTATTCCAGATGTGGTCTGGCCAAGGCAGAATAGAGTGGTACTATAACTTCCCATTAACCTAGACATTATACTTCGATTGATGAAGCCTAGAATATCATTAGCTTTTTTTGCTGCTGCTGCATCACATTGTTGACTCGTGTTAAGCTTGTGGTCTACTAAGACCCTTAGATCCTTTTCACATCTACTACTAGCAATCCAGGTGTCCCCCGACTTATATTTGTGCAGCTGGTACCTGTGGGCTGTCAAGCCAACCCCTTTGTAGCTTTTTTCAAAAACAGAAGGGAAGCCTTTTGCTTTTTGCAGCTCCTGCCTGCCACTGTGGGCCCAGGAAGGGAAGGTGAAGTGCATGGCAGGAATGTGGCGAACCCTCTGAGCACACCTTGGGAAGTCTCCCCAGCTCCCTTAACAGTTTCCATTTGCAGCTGATGCTGGCAGCTTTGGTATTGTTGGCTGGAGAGTAATGGGCACTCTATACTGCTATGTGTGACTCTTCTGTGGTCAAAGAGCTTTTTGGGTGTTGCAATTCAAATCATGCAGTGTGATGCAACTGGCAGAAGTTCAGCCAGCCTGCTGAGTCAATTGTAAATTGGTCTCTAGGTGTTCATGAACCATCTTGCATGGGGGTTGGCTGACCTTTAGTTGCACATCCTCTTTGCTTGTTGCTGAGGAGTGATTACTCTAAATGGTTCTAGAGAATTAGCACGTTGGTATTTTACAGCAAGTACAAAAGACGCGGGTGGCGCTGTGGGTTAAACCACAGAGCCTAGGACTTGCCGATCAGAAGGTCGGCGGTTCGAATCCCCGCAACAGGGTGAGCTCCCGTTTCTCAGTCCCTGCTCCTGCCAACCTAGCAGTTCGAAAGCACATTAAAGTGCAAGTAGATAAATAGGTACTGCTCCAGCGGGAAGGTAAACGGTGTTTCCGTGCACTGCTCCGGTTCTCCAGAAGTGGCTTAGTCATGCTAGCCACATGACCCGGAAGCTGTACGCCGGCTCCCTGGGCCAATAAAGCGAGATGAGTGCCACAACCCCAGAGTCAGTCACGACTGGACCTAATGGTCAGGGATCCCTTTACTTTTATCTTACAAAAGAAAAAAGGAAAAAATCCTGTGGTACCTTAAAATTGAGCAGTTTTGCAGTAGCATCAGTGTTTGTGAAGTATAGTCTATTTCTTGCTCCTGATGAAATGTCATCCTCAGGTGAGAGAGAGAGATGACAGAAGTGTGTGTGTGTACACACACACACACACACACACACAGAGAGAGAGAGAGAGAGAGATCTGTGTACCCATGTGGGAAGAAAACACAATAAAGGTCATAGCATGCAATAGGTTCAACTTCTGCCATTTCTGTGCATGGATGAAATGTATACAGATTAGTCCCATGACCATTCACAACGGCAGTAACTGGTGTTGCAGTGAGCACATCTGCAAAAGGAGCAAGGGGAGTGTCAGTCAGGTGGTGGCAAGCCGTCTGGCAAATGATCATTGGCCCTCCACAGATAAACTGCACAGCTCAGTTGAGCTTTTGATGTATAGAAATCCTACTGGACAATTACCCTCTGCCATATCACAACCTGCTCGATATAAGCTGACCCTGACAGAGGTGTGCAATCTGTGTCATTGTAAATAGTGTGATGTGAATTCTGTCATGCTATGTGAAGGTGCTGTGCTGGCTGTTCAATGTGAGCAGTCCCTAAATAATTCCAGAAATTCCTGGCCTTTAATGTTATAAATAGCCAATGGTGAAGGGAGTGCTGGGTGCCAACAGTTTGCATTCCTGTTTGTTTACTTAGAACAATAGAATTGTAGAGTTGGAAGAGACCCCGGGGGTAATCTAGTACAACCCCCTGTAATGCAGGAATCTCAATACGCTGTTCCCCATCCAATTTGAAACCATACTGGACCCTGCTTAGCTTTGTAATTGGGCTAGCAGTTTTACTGCTTCACCACTAGGTGTTTGTTTGTTTGTTTGTTTGTGTGTTTGTTTGCTTTATTTTAGGATTTTTATTCTGGCATTTTACTTTACAGAGTTTTCATATTTAGTTAAAAACAATACATACCTTTAAAATAAAAACATTCTAAACAATAAAATAGCATATATTAGGCAAACTGAAAACTAGGGAGAGTGTCACATTAGTAACAAACAAAAATGAAAAGGTCTTCAGCCTACATTGGATGGTCCAGAGAGGGGGCTAAGCAAATTTAACAGAATTGTTGAATTGTAGAGTTGGATGGGGTCCTCAGGGGTCATCTAGTCCAACTCTCTGCAATGTGGGAATTACAGCTAAAGAGTCCTTGACAGGACCAGCCAACCTCTGTTTGAAAACCTCCAACAAATGAGAGCCCATCACCTTCTGAGGGAGTCCGTTCTACTGTTGAGCAGCTCCTACAGCCAGCAAGTTCTTCCTAATCTTTAGTCGGCATCTCCTTTCTTGTCATTGAATAGTTTGGTTCTCCCATCTGGAGCAGGAGAAAACAAGCTTGCTTCATCTTCCGTGGGACAACCCTCTAACTAGTTGAACATACCACCTTAGTCTCCTCTTCTCCAGGTGAAGCATGTAGCCTCATGAGACGTGGTTTCTAGCCACATCTGGAAACCACATCTGGGCATTGTACTCAAGTAGGCCTTTCCCTGTGTGCCCACCAGCTGTGCTTCTGATGATGGCAGGATACACAGAAGGATCTCTCTCACTGACTTCAGTGGACAGCTGGTGTGTATGGGGAAAGCTGGTTCTCTTCCGTTTCCTAAGCCCACCTTGCTTAAGACTTTAATGGACATACTGAGCAGTTTCAGCTGTGCTTGGAAATAGACCCACAGGTCGTGCAACATGCTTCAAGGCCTGGGTTTGGTCAGCACTTTTCACAGCTATAACCGAAGTTCCTGAGTGGCCTCCCAAATCAGCCCACGTGGAGTTTGTTACCAGTCATCCAGCCTTGATGACTTGCAGCGGTTCTCAACCTGTGGGTCCCCAGATGTTGTTGGACTACAACTCCCATCATCCCTGACCACTGGTCATGTTGGCTAGGAATGATGGAAGTTGTAGTCCAACAACATCTGGGGACCCACAGGTTGAGAAACACTGAAAAGGCATGTGTCGCAAGGAGGACAGTGTTACAAGCCAGGACTGGTCAGCCTACGGTACTCCACCTGCTGTTGGGACTCCCTTTCCCAGCAGCCCCAGCCATCATGGCTACGCATCAGGGAAAATGGGGGTTATCTGCCCATAGCTGAAGGAGCCACAGGCTACCCACCCTGTTTCAGGCTATGGTGGGCAGTCGCTCCAGAGCATTCATGGCCACATGATATAGTGATGGCTACTAGCTTAGTTGGCTTTGAAAGAAGGCTAGGTAAATTCGCAGGAAACATCTGTCTTTGACTGTTGGTCATAGATCGTCAGGGACGCAGGTGGCGCTGTGGGTTAAACCACAGAGCCTAGGACTTGCCGATCAGAAGGTCGGTGGTTCGAATCCCCGCCATGGGGTGAGCTCCTGTTGCTCTGTCCCTGCTCCTGCCAACCTAGCAGTTCGAAAGCACGTCAAAGTGCAAGTAGATAAATAGGTACCGCTCCGGTGGGAAGGTAAAAGGCGTTTCCGTGTGCTGCTCTGGTTTGCCAGAAGCAGCTTAGTCATGCTGGCCGCATGACCTGGAAGCTGTACGCCGGCTCCCTTGGCCAGTAAAGCGAGATGAGCGCCACAACCCCAGAGTCGGTCACGACTGGACCTAATGGTCAGGGGCCCCTTTACCTTTACCTTTACCATAGATCGTCATATGTAAACTCCAGGTTGATTTAGAAGTTGATCAGGAGGCAAAGACGAGGGCTTTTGCCATCATACCCTGCTTATTGGCTTCCTTAAGGTGGACCAGCTCCCCTCACCCCATACCCTTGGCAGAGCCTAATGAGATTGTAGTCCCACAACATCAAATGCTTACCCTTGTGCAGGTGGAAGAAATGGAATCATTTGATCTCTCTTGGTAATGTTCTTCTGTCAGATAGTTAACAAGTTCTCCTTAAATGGTGTTTTACATTGACCAGTACATATGTTTGATCTAAAAATGGCTCTCTGCTGCATTAACTTCACTTGAAATTGACACTCTGAACCAAAATGTGTTTTTGGCATGATGCCACTTTCCCCGTTCTTCAACCTCATTTTAAAACTCGAGCTCCGTCCCACTGTAGCTAGTCCTGTTTTCAGTTGCTAAATACTATTGGAAGGCAGGCAGGTGGTGATGCCTGGCTGCTTGGAGTTCCATTCAGCCTCCCACAGTCAAGTAAATAATTGTAGAGCACCCTTGCAGACAAAAGAGCTGGCTCAGCTTATGAGACAGGGGCGGGGAGAATCTTGTCAGCACAAAATGAGGAGGGAAGGGTTGGCCGCTTGTCAAGGGACTGGCAAATCCCCAAAGGAAAGCAGAGGGAGCCATTTCGGCTTTTTATCTCCCCTAAGCTTCCCGGATCCATCTGGGCTCAGTCGGCTACAGTAGGATGGTTATTATGGCCGGCTGCAATTGAGCAGAGGAGAAATGAAAACTTTGCAGGGGAAGGATGTTCCTTGCAGAGGTGTGGGCCCCTCTCCAGTTGTAGGCATAGCTGAATACTTTCTCAGGTTACCAGGGAGAAGAAGAAGTGCAGAGAGAATTGCATCAAGTTCTGTTCACTTGGGGTAACATTTCACAGCAAGTTACATAACTCTTCCACTGCATGTTTAAAATGCTTGTGTTTACATTTATATGACTTTGTTGCATAGAAACAGTGGCACAGATTTTCAAGCAGATAAGTTTATCTTAATATGTGTACACTTGTGGATGTTTGAGTTCTCCATCAGATCCATTTAAGATGTGTCAGATTGAGGTCAAAAGTGAAGAAACAGTCTTGAAGTCCGGAATCTGAATGTGGTATGGTATGGGTTTATTATTATTTTAAGCCTTGCACATGCAGCGCAATGCTTAGTTTAGATGCTGATGATGAATTTGGAATCTGAAACATCTCTGCCATGAACATAAAATCTCCGAATGCTCTCACACACAAATTTATGGCTGGAGGAGAAAATGTGATGTTCCTAGGACAGTGTTCAAAATAGTCATGTCCATGCATTGAAATTTGTTATTTATTTTCTCTTGATGTCCCAGGTCCATTTGTTTAGATAATATGAATTTTAGTCTGCTTGGGACAGAAACTGCTGTCTTGTTTGTTGCACTCTTTGCAAAGTTCTGTCACTGTATAGTGACTAAAACATCTAGAATGTAGCTAAGCAGGCAGAAGCAAGGTTGATTCTGAGTGACTGGGGCCATTCGTGTCTCTGGGACAGGACACCTGCATCTATCCCAGTGGCCAGTATTAAGGATGGACAGCAAGTCTAGCCTTCATTGCAACCAGGGCTTCTTTTCAGCCGGAACTTGCTGGAACTCAGTTCCGGCACCTCTCAGGGGGCTCCTTTGCTATTCTAGGAGAACAAGGAAGGTGTCCATGGTGAGTTCCGGCACCTCTTTTTCTAGAAGAATAGCACAGATTGTAACCAAGAATGCCATTAGGTGTGGAGATGCGCAGCAACTATTTACTTAGTTGAGAGAAAATAATAGAGGTGGTGGTACTTGGAGCACTGCTGGGGTAGAGGCAAGTGCCCTGTCCCAGAGACATGAGTGGTCCCAGTCCCTGAAAATCAACCTTGCTTCTGTCTTCTGAGCTACATCCTAGATTCAGTTTTGTAGCGGTTGCTGTGGAAAGTGAGGGATGTGTGTGCAAAGATGTGTGATCAAGCCGGTGTCTGGATGCAGTAGTGGGATGGATAAGGTCTAATAAACGACGTCTGGATCCTAGCAGGATGGACACTGTGTCAGTGAGTGGTTCCCAGGTCTAGGAAGTAATTCAGACGCCTGTGCTGGACGGGGTTGCTCTCTCCCTGAAGGAGTAAGTGCGTAGTTAAGAGGTGCTCCTGGATCCAGCTCTGTTGCTGAATGCCCAGGCGTTCTTGGTGGCTAGGAGTGCCTTTTACGGCCTTCAATTGGTAAGATCACTATGGTCAGTCTTGGATTGGGTTAGCTTGAGCACAGTTGTCCATGCATTGCTAACCTCTTGGTTGGATTACTACAATGCACCATGTGTGGGGCTTAGTTGGAAGGTGCAGCTAGTGCAAAACCAAATGACTAGGTTGCTGGGGCGGGTAGCAAAATAACCTCAGCCTGCTTGCAGGATTTGTGCTGGTTGCTAATCCGCTACTGGGCAAAGTTCAAAGTGCTTGTACCAATATATTGGTACCCTTTGTTGGTACCCTTTACAGCTCAGGACCAGGTTACTTGAGAAACTGCCTTATCCCTTAAATGCTCAGGGGATAGTTGCAGTCTGTAGGACAGTTTCTCCTGCAAGTTCCAAAGATTTCAGAATCCTGCTCCATAGTAACCTGGAGCAGGGCTTTTCTGTGGAATAGTATTCCTGTCAGAATAAGACAGTCACCCACTGTCTGCAATTTCCAGAAACAATTGGAGACATTTTTGTTCCAGCTGGTTAAATGGGTCTTTGCCACGAGTGTCTAGTTTGTATGGTTTTATCATAGGTGTGTAATATGATATGTGTAGCATCTGGGAGGGACTTAGTCAGCCTGCAGGCTTCATTTTGAAAATGAGTCTCTTAAGCTGAGCTCATGGTTACAGCGTAAACCTAGTATTTGTTGCCCCCACTGCTGACCTGCCCACTCTGGGTAACTTGTGTGTTGAAGAGTTCTGGAGAACTAAGCAGCTTGCCACACTTTTGTGACATTTTGGTTGGTCCCAACTGAGGCGTTGCCTAACCATGGATTTTAAAGTTGTTAAGGAAGTCTAACGAAAGAGTCAACTGGTCAACTACACATGCAAAATTTAGTGTATTTCCTTTTTTGTCACACTTAACCTTGATTGGTTTCATGTTTCTCAGGCATTTAGAAAGCCACAGGAGCTTTCACACCACTTGCTGGTGGGGGGGGGGGGGAGTAGGATTTCCCAGCTCTTATTATTATACTTATTTCTTTATCTTCTGCCTTTGCGCCAGACTCAAGGCAGCTCATGCAACGTATAACAGGCAATAGAAGGTGTACATCGGGGGGCGGTGTCTGTGTGGGAGAGATAATTACTGCAGCATTCTTCTTTGCTAGTGCTTAAGAGCTTCCAGCACAGTATAGTAAACCTGATCTTATCATAGTGTTGTACTACAACAGTTTTTCTTTTTAACAGCATCTGGTTCACTTCCGAGGGCTCCTCTCTCCACCCACAGAAAGAATTTCTGCTGCTTCCCCAGTAATCTTCAAATACCCCCACCACCACCTCTCTCACTTCTGTGTGTGTGTGTGTGGCAAAGCTGGTGGGCAAAACCAGAACAGATCCTTGGTCAACCTTTCCTTGTCTCAAAAGGAGTGCTTATTCCTGAAGAAACCACCACTTTAGATATTCAAGCCTTGCTATTTTCTAAATAAATAGAATAGACAAGGGCGGGAGGGGGTTACAAATCAAAGAGGACTAAAATAATGAAGATGGTTAGTCTGGGATTTGAAGAGCCATTGTCAGATATGGCTGAACCTCTTAATTTTCACGGCATTCACATTTTCAAATGGTCCTACATTCACTGCTGCTCCCATAACCTCTCAGTGGTAAGAACAATTCTCACAAATTCAGGCTGATGATTGGAGAAGGCTTTGGCCTTTCCCTGCCTGAGATTCTGCTTCAGCCATTGTGATTTGTACTTGAGGGCCTTGAGACTGGGCTACAGCAGCAAAAAAAGCTAATGCTGTTCTAGGCTGCATCAACAGAAGTATAATGTCCAGATCAAGGGAAGTAATAGTACCACTCTATTCTTCCTTGGTCAGACCCCACCTGGAATACTGTGTCCAATTCTGGGCACCACAATTTAAGAAGGATGTTGACAAACTGGAACGGGTGCAGAGGAGGGCAACCAAGAGGACCAAGGGTCTGGAAACCAAGCCTTACGAGGAATGGTTGAAGGAGCTGGGTATGTTTAGCCTGGAAAAGAGGAGACTGAGAGGAGGTATGATAACCATCTTCAAATATATCAAGGGTTGCCTGTCACATGGAAGTGGGAACAACTTTGTTTTCTCCTTCTCTGGAGGGTAGGACTCAAACCAATGGCTTCAAGTTACAATAAAGGAGATTCCAACTAAACATCAGGAAGAACTTTCTGACAGAGCTGTTTGACAGTGGAACGGTCTCCCTCAGGAGGTTGTGGACTCTTCTCCCTTGGAGGTTTTTAAGCAGAGGTTGGGTTGCCATCTATCATAGATGCTTTAGTTGAGATTCCTGCATTGCAGGGGGTTGAACTAGATGACTCATGGGTCCCTTCCAACTCTACAATTCTATGATTCTAAGACTAGTCACAAGTTGTTCCTAAATGCCATGGCACTTTTTTGACAGGGTGAAACGCATCACAGCAACTTAAGCAACTGCAGGGGATGTTTGCAGCCTTTCTGCTCTTAAGTTTGTTTCTGACATTTATATCCCTAAATAGCTTGGGTGCTGCATATAGCAATATCAGATGCCTTTGTAGACATTGCTTTGAGCTCTTGGAGTGATTTTATAAGAATCTAGTGCACAAATATCTGAAATTACTTCCCTCTCTGAAAGATTGGGCCCAGATATGATTGTAATAGAAACACTCAAAGGGCACAGTCCACTGGAAGTTTTCCTGTGTGGGTGCTGTTGGTAAAGGCTTAGCAGTGCTGGAATCCTTTTTCCATGGCCTGGAGGTGCTGCAAAACCATTGCTCTTTGGGCTGGCATTTGGTGGCTGAAGCTAAGCCAGTCTGGAGTTTGTCAGTTCAGCCTTATATTTAGGTTTTGGTGCAGTTTTTATTTGGATGACGTGCTTTAGATTTTTATCTTTTTCTTTTAGTTTTGTTTTCAGGTGGTTGTGACCCCCCCCCCCTTTAGGCTGGGGCAGGATATAAAGTCTCACAGATAAAATTAACTGCATGTATAATAAATAAAAGGAACCAAAGTGTTCTGTGGAGTGGGTGCATGGAAGAAAGCTGTTCTGGGAAGCACCAACAGAGAAATGGAACCAAGGGCGGCTGCCCATTTGACAGCAGTTGTTGAAAGAGTTGCACAGTATTAGGCAAAACGTTTTTGTCTTATGCTTCAGTTTTCTGTTGCACCAGTTTTTATAAGGTTTGCAGCAGCAAATATTGCAATAACGGTAATAAATACCTCTGATAGTCCTTGGCATGTTCCTCCAGAATGAAGGTGTCATGGGACTTTGATGTGAGAGATCTTAAGTGCTGCTACATCCCCTGCCAAAAGGCAGCCTTTTGAAGACTAGAGTTCTGCATAGGCAGGGCCCATGGTGCATAAATGAAAGAAATGGTTCATCCTTTTGGTGGGAAAAGCTGCCCCATGGGAGGGGCCCCCCAACCGTTTACAAGTTTGGCTTCTGAAGAAATAGAAATGGAGAAGTGTCGTCGTGTCAGGAATTTCCACTTCAGTCTTTGAGGAAAGGGTTAAGTGGCTTTGGGGATGGGCAGTACTAGGGAAACTGAAATTGTTTTGGACATCTGAATTCCACTCTAATAAGATGTCCCAGGTGGCTGGGGAGTAATCCTAAAATAGCTGCAGCTCTTAATTGCTTTTGTAAAGTCAGGCTTGCAATCTCTGGGGAGGAACAGCTCCCTGGCATGCTTTGATAGCTGACTAACCTTAGAAGGTGTGTTTGTGGATCAGAGATGAAGGGGAATGTCGCCAGCAGGTTTTAGGGATGCCCCTAAGGCCTAAAGCTGCCTCCCTTTCTTCTCTCTCTCTCTCTCTCTCTCACACACACACACACACACACACACATATATATAGAGAGAGAGAGAGAGGAATCCTTATCTGTGATATGTCTGTTGGAGATTTCAGGTGAACACAAGGAACACAGCATTCACCACCACCCCTCTGCTTTGTAAAACCTTGCTGGTGTTAATCCAAAATATGCCATAGCTAGCATGCACCATAGCCAAGTATGTATTCTAGTAAATATGCAGGAAAAGAAACTTCTAGAGTAACTACAAGTTGCCGGTGTGCAGCAAGTGGTCCAGGATCAGATGGGAGCAAAGACTTAAGCAGGAACAAAGTGTGGAGGACCAGGCAGGAATTCAGTTACCTGCTCAGTTGCTTGAGGCAGGCAGGGGAAATGACTGCTGGGGTGAATCGGTTGGGAGAGGAAGTCCAGAAGCTTCTGTCTGTGTGTCTGGAGAAAGAGTGTATGACCTTTTTTACTTGGTTAGTGCCAAGGCTTTTTGTATTCTGTGTATTAATAATAATAATAATAAATATTAAGATGTCTCATGTTGTGCAAAGGACCAAGAAACATGAAGGGTGAGAGAGCTGCTGCAGTAACTTGCAGGACCTGTGCCATATTTGTCTGGAGAACATGTAAATATACTTGTAGCAAGTGCCAACTGGTTGCCTTGCTGGAAGGGAAGATACAGCAACTTGAGACCCACCTAGCCACTCGTTGAGCTGCAGGACAAGATGCATAGTTTCTTGATAGAGCTGAGTGGACTGTGCTGGAACAGCAGCACAGGGTGGGGTGCCCATACAGAGGAGAAAGATTGCTCATTGCAAGAGACAGTCCCCTGGAGGAACATGACACACACAAGTAGGACTGTCAGGGTCCATGCTGTGTCATTGGAGCTGCAAAAGCAATTTCATGCTCTCATCGCAGACACCGATTCTGGGCCTGAGGAGCTAGGACAGCACTTGCCAACCTCAGAATATACCAAAGTGGCTGTGAAAGGTACAGTGCACAGAATGATTCCTGCTACCCGCCCCCCCCAGAAGACGAAGAGACAGGAGGAGGTGGACTTGGAGGATAACCCACTTGCTACCTTTCAAGGAAATGAACTCTGAGAAAGAGAATTGCAGTCTGAAGAAGACAAGCCGAGAGGAAGTAGCAGCAAGTATTTGAGCCATTAGGCTCCTGGCTTTGTAACCTATCCCAATAATATCCAGCTAAGCTCCAGTATACAAGAGGGGAAGACTCAACAGCAGTTGCAGACCTTAGAACATTCCAAGGAGCCTTTAGAAGACACACTGTATAGAACGATTCCTGCCATTCCCCAGAGGAGGAAGAAACTTATGGTGGTGGTAAGTGACTCCCTACTGAGGAGGAAAAAGGCAATAGTGTGTGAAGGAAACAGGATGTCCCAGGAGGTGTGCTATCTTCCAGGTGCAAAGATTCACAATGTGACAGAGAAGTTGCTGAGTCTTATAAAGCCCCCTGACCACAACTGCTCCTTTTGATTCATGTGGATACAAACAATACTGCCACAGACAGCCTTCCAGCTAGGGACGATGAGACTCTGGGCAGAAGCTGTAGAGTCTTGGGGCACAGGTGGTATTTTCATCTCCTTCCTTTTGAAGGAAGGTGTTGTAGGTGGTGTCATCAGGAAGGTTTGGCTTCTTGGATCATGATCTCCAGTTCCTTGAGGAAGGACCTCTTGCAAGATATGGGCTGCACCGCATAGTGGGTAGCAAGAATATGTTTGCTAAGAGTCTCACAAACCTGATCAGGCGAGCTTTAAACTAGATCTTGAGGGGGAGGAAGACAATATTACAGAAGACAGAAGAACACCTGGTTCTGCAGAAAATAGCTTCATTGATGCACAGGAAACTGAGGTGGTACGCCGAAAACCTGTCAAAGGGCAAGAAACTACAATAAAGAAGCAGCTAGAGAGAATGACTGTTGGTTTCAGTTGTCTGTACTAATGCACAGAGCATGGGAAACAAGCAAGACAAATTAGAGCTCTTAATACAGGATGGCAAATATGACCTAATAGGTATTACTGAAACCTGGTGGGATGAGACTCATGAATGGAATGTAGAAGTTGAGGGGTGTAATCTATTCAAAACGAATAGACCAAGCAAGCAGGGAGGAGGAGTAGCATTGTATGTAAAGGAAGTGTCCACTTGTGAGCAGATACATGACCCGGAGCACAGAAGACAGATTGAGAATATATGGATAAAAATGGTAGGAGAGGGAAACAACAGTGACCTTACTGTGGGTGTCTGCTATAGACCTCCAAGCCAGACTGAAGACTTAGATGATGCCTTCCTACAACAGATTACCAGACATTCACAAAGGAGCAATATAGTAGTCATAGGAGACTTCTACTTCCCCAATATCTGTTGGAACTCAAACTCTGCCAAGAATGTAAAGTCGAACAAATTTTTCCATTGCCTTGCCAACAATTTCATTTCCCAGAAAGTGGGAGAAACAACAAGGGGATCATCCATCTTGGACCTGTTTCTCACCAACAGAGAAGAACTGATTGACGAAGTGGAAGTACTCTGAAACTTGGGAGGAAGTGATCATGTTGTCTTGGGTTTCATTTTATACAGGCAAGGGAAAGCTTTAGGAGGAGCTTTCTGAGGGTAAGAGCTGTTCGAAGGTAGAATGAGCACCCTCAGAAGGTGGTGGACTCTCCTTTGTTAGAGGTTTTTAAGCAGAGGTTAGATGGCCATCTCTCTTTTAAACTTTAGTTGAGGTTCCCTCACTGCAGGGGGTTGGACTAGATGAATCTCTTCCAACTCTATGATTAATATGATGCCAAATACTCCCAATTCTATACCATTAAGTAATTTCTGCAACATGTATGATTTAGGTAAATGAAGCAAGTTTGTCTGACAACTCTCTCTGTATAATTCTGCTTTTTCATTATTTCATACATCTATATATTTTCCTTCTGCCAGTCATGGGAAAGAGCAAGCAGCCATGTCTTGCCCTGAAGCCTTCCCACCTGCTGAAAGTCAGAGTGGATTGGTATTGGTATGCTATAAATAAAGTTTCCATTTTTTGTGATTCATGAATTCCCTGAATATGAGTGCGTAGAATCATATAATTGTGGTTGCTGTAACAATTCAAAATAGTTGTTTGCAACCAAATGGAACTTTTATATTACTGAGGAGCATGAACTAAAACCTCTGGTTTTGCAGTTCACAACCCTTTTGCCACTGCACAGTTGTTTCTGCTTAGTAATAAGGGTTGCAGTTATAAAATTCATATATTTCTTCTTGGCTCTCTATATACATAAGGACACTAAGCAAGATCACTTATTTAAGGACAAGTGCTACTAACACATTGGATGTGCTGGATTCTGGGCTAAGTGCCCAGAACTCTACAGAAACAAGGCGTAGTGTTAGTGAGCAAAAGTGTTTTCTTTAGTGAAATGGAAAGTAAATGTCCATGCTGTCTGTTTGAATAATGCATATTTTTAATTTGTTGCAATAAATACATTAACAATACAAAAAATTAATGCACGCCCAGTTGCATCATACCTTTAACCCAAGACAAATATTCCCCCCCCCCCCATTCTTTCTCTCCCCCACTTTTAACAAGAAAAGCAGGTTTTAATTCAGTGGCTGCCTTCAGATGGCACGCTAAACTATGGTGAGATGTGAACGAGCCTTTCTCTGCCTCTGTGTTCTTCACCAGTAAAATATGAGCATTCATTGACTGCCTTTGACTATGTCTTCGTGCATCTCTGCTGATAAACGTTTCTGTTTAAAGTCCTGGTCTGTAGTCTGGGACCTTCATACTAACAGCACAGGATTGTGTCCAGGGGAGGTTACTTTGATGCTGGTAACACAGTGGTTTGAATTCACCCCTGTAGGTGCACTCCCATTGTCTCTCAAGACAGACGGATGCCAACAGTCCACAAACGAAGGAACAATTCAGCTCCTGTTTATTTTGGGGTGGGGGATCTTCCTCCAGCTTGTGTGTCAAGCAGTCCTCACAGGGTGATGGTAGTCGTAAACTACTTGCTTACCAGTACATTTTGGAGCATCTGTTGACCAGTGTTGCAGATGAGCGTGGAAGAAAGGTGTGCATTATTTCTGCACAAAGGGTAGATGAGTGGTCATCCTTCCATATATACAAAGCTTGTTTTCTGAGCTCTTTCTGAAGATGGGCTGGGAAAGCAGTGTGCTGTGATAAACAGCTGACATAACAGAAGTGGCAATAATCCTCCATTAAATATCTTTCAGCTGATGGGGCTCACCGGATAATTGACTTTCCAGCAGGAATTACTGGCTCAAACTAAATCAGCAGGCATTAGGGCAGCCTGCTGCTGTTTCGAAAGGGAGAATGTAGCTTTGCCTGACTCTGACAGGGACTATTCATCTTGGTAATTCAGTGTATGTGTCACTACCAGATGACACTAAGACTGTAGACACTAAAGTGGCTCTAATTAAAAACTGTTTTTGTTTGGAATTCCCTTCGTGAATTCAGTAGCTTTTTATCTGATTTAAGATCCTATGTGCTCACCACCAGATGGTGGGTGGGTGATCTGAACCAGCCGGTGGTGTTTGACCTCCCCCGGTTCGCTTTTTGTCTGTTGCCCAGGCTACCTTTTACACTGTGGTGTTTGCAGTTCAGATGGCAGCAGAATTTGTCCTTCCGTTCCCACAACCATTAGAAGCAAATGCTGCTTGGCCACTTCTTCCTGCTCTGGCAACTCCTTGGGATGATGAGTTTCTCATTGAAACGTGTCTGCAGTGGGAGCAGATCCTAGTGGGAGGGCAACTGCACCTCAGTCCCATGAAGTTAAAGGTTCACATAATCACAAAGTGGGTACATGTTAAACGGTGTTCAGGGGTTTGCTTGAACGTAAGATGTTAAATATAGGGCTGAAGCAAGGTGCACATGCCGTGTCTTGTGGTTCCATTACAGTGGGGGGGGCGTGTAACCCATATACACAAGCAGGCCATGTAAAGGGCTTGAAAAGAGTTTGTGCAAATTGAAAAAACAGTTGCTTTTCATATGCACTGTTCCAGAACAGAGTCAGAAATCGCCCTTCCTTGAGCAGGGGGAGGTCTTCTCTGAATTCAGCTCTTAGTTCTTACTGATGTTGACCCACAGAAGGTGGCTGTAGCAGTTAGGATTTCCTGTTTCTTGACCTAAATGCTTCCTCTGTTGTAAATAACCCATTAGCGGCCTACCTTTTAATCACTGCCTCTTTGTTCATTTTCTTCTTTAGAATGGGAGCCTGAGCTGGAACGAAGAAGCTGATGGCAGCAGAGGAAGAGAGGTATCTCGAGACTTTGCCAAGGTCAGTACAATGACTTGAGTTTGAGTGTACATTTGAGCCTAGTGGGAAAACAACATTTGAGTTGCATTCTTTAGGGTGTCTCTGATGCTGCGTCGAGCCTGCTTTCACTCACACAAGACTTTATCCTCTCCTCCCCACTGTAGCTCCCCATGCACCCCAAAATCTGTTTGGAGCAGAATTTGAGGGGGCACTGGTGGGGTGGGCTTCAGGGGAGGATAAGAGGAAGGGGTAGTCCTGTTACACAAACAGCAGTGCTCAATGCAGCCCATTGCAGTGAAGAATGTGTTAATCCCTGGTATGGTTCTGCAGCTGGAAGAGAATCCAACAAACTAGATTTCAAGGTCCAAAGATACAGCCCAAATTAACCATATGTCTGGGTTGCCTTGTTTTTCCTTCCAAACCCAACCCATCATGAATTATAATCTACTTGCTTTATTCCCCAGTTGTATGAACTGGATGGTGATCCTGAACGGAAGAAGTTCTTGGATGACCTCTTCATTTTTATGCAGAAGAGGGGTGAGTAGAACTCTTACGCTGAGTTTTGTTTCGATAACCTGAAAAGTCACAGAGAGGAATACACCTGCTAGTGTCCTATGTTAGAATTGGACTCCTTCTAATGAAGCTGCTGCTTGGATTGGCTTCAGAGATTTTGTTTCTTGGTGGGTGGGGAGGAGAGGAAACAGTACCTGCTGCTTCGAAGGTGGAGAGTTATGAAAGAGAATCCCATGAAACAGACAGCTTAGTTGAAGTTGAAGTAAAAGAGATACTGTCGTTTCCCCCCCTTCCAGACTTGGTTTGAAACAAGGATAGACTCAGTATTATTGAGACCTGTTGCGAGGCGGTTGCAGTGTAAACACTGACAGCGGGAAGGGAAAGAGGATAGGAAGAAAGGAAACAGCAGGAATGACAGCATTTGCGCATACATGGGTTTCCATTTCCCCTACGCCAACCCAAGTAGAAGCAAGAGGTCTGTTAGGGAAATGTGCCTCACTCTGCAACCACAAGTTTCTTGTCCTCATGGTATGTTGAAGTATTTAAATAGCAAATGTCCTTAATGGAGCAAAGAAAAGAAGCTGTGTGTGTGTGTGAGAGAGAGAGAGAGAGAGAGCGTGCACGCTGGGGGGGGCGGGTAGAGAGAGAGAGGCTTCTAAACAATCTCAGCAGCTAAGGCAACCCATAAAAAAACAGGTTTTTCTGTTACTGTCAAATAAATACAACAAATCTCCTCCCTGCTTAGTGCCACTAAATTTGGAAGCAAAAACATAACCTCTGTTGTCTGTAGTGTGTTTTGCTTGCGTCAGTCACAAAATTCAGGGTTGCTGTGAGGCCCTTTTAGCTCTAGATAGATTTCTGAAGTTGAACAAGCTGCTCATCCTTTCCTAGGTGGCACCAGTATTGTAAGGTTGAATCAGCACAGGCTGGTAAGTTGAGGATTGATCTTGGAGGCCCAGTGTGAAAGACAAACAGCAGATTTCACATGAGCTCCTGAAAAAAGAGTTGAGGATGAAAAGCCCTGGCCCTGGATACCATCCCCTGACAGGCTATTTGTGTCCAGTGCCCTGCTGCACCAGGCCTAATGCAGATCAAATGTGTGGGCCTCCTCTGAGCACAGCAGGTTGCCACAAAGCAGCTGCACCTGCAAGTGATAAAATGCCTCTTCAGTGGCAGTAATGACGAGAGAGGAGAGGAAGGCTTTAACACACTGGGGAGGGGGGAGATTGCCCCCTCTGTGACACTAAAATAGAGAAATGAGAAAAAATGGAGCTGGTTCGTCAACCCTTAGCCCATGCCTTCAAATTATAGGACTCTGTTTTGGATTCATGAAGACCTCGTCCCTTTCTTGGGCTGTCCTGAAGATGAAAGGTTGCCTTTGAGAATTGCATTTCTGCAAAAGCACTCTCATCTGTTTTAGGGCCAGCAGACTTCCTGAGAGCTATTCAGGTGTTATGGCTAAGGTTTGGTTAAGCAACCGACGTCCTTGTCCCTTGTGCATAAAGTTACATGAGTTTAAAAATGGATTAAAACAACAAATTTCAGAGGAGTGGAGCTACTGCTACCTGGTGCACCCACCCGCAGGCACAGGCTGCATCCCAGAAAAGAGGAAGGGATTTGCTATACAAGCTTAATGAGAGTTATCATGGTGGATTCCTTTTCATTGGTGTCTGGATTGATCCTGCAATGACTGAGTGAGAGGAAACAAGAAGGAGATCAAAGTAATAGGGCTCTGTCCGGAAAGACTGAATCATTCAAATTGGATGGTTCAGTCTGTAGAGCAGGCGTAGGCAAACTCGGCCCTCCATATGATTTTGGACTACAACTCCCATCATCCCTGGCCAGCAGGACCAGTGGTCAGGGATGATGGGAATTGTAGTCTTAAAAAACATCTGGAGGGCCGAGTTTGCCTACGCCTGCTGTAGAGCATGAGACTCTTCATCTCAGAGTCATGGGTTCAAGCCCCATGTTGGGCTAAATATTCCTGCATTGCAGGGGGTTGGACTAGATGATGCTCGTGGTCCCCTCTGTTTTTATATTGTAGAGTTAGAAGCGACCCCAAGGGTCATCAAGTCCAAGCCCCTGCAGTACAGGAGTTGCAACTAAAACATCCAAGACAGTTGGCCATCCAACCTCTGCTTAAAACCTCCAAGGAAGGAGAGTTCACAGTCTCCCAAGGGGGACCGTTTCACTATTGAACAGTTCTTGATTGTCAGAGAGTTCTTCCTGGTGTTTAGTAGGAACCTCCTTTCTTGTAACTTGAAGCCATTGGTTTGAGTCCTACCCTCTATGGCAGGAGTAAACATGCTTGCTCCATCTTCCATGTGACAGCCCTTCTGATAGTGCCCAATGCTGTCATACACTTCCCCTTGTCAGAGAGCTGTTGCCAGAGAATTTTTGTTTCTCAAAGCACACCATAAATGCAGAAAGGGACAATGCCATAAAAGTCATTTATTAAGGAGAGAGAAAAGGCCAGACTTTGTTAGACCCTCCACGAAAATTGTGTAGGCAGCCTCCCTCTTCCTAGTATTGTCTTCCCTACAACATTCTATGTCAAGTAGGGATTTTGGGGGGGGGGCATGGGAGGAGAGAGTTTCTGCTTACAAACCTCCTGGATGATTTGGTGGCTGTTGTGTGAGAAAACTGACATGTGATGATCATGACTTTGGGAGCTCACTTACTATACTCATGCGCCCCAACAGCTGTTTTCCTCTGCTTATCGAGGCTGCCTGTGACGGAACTTGAGCTCTAGTTCAAAATTTAAACAAGGTAATTCATTATACGATTATAAGAGCCTGGCTTCTGGATCAGACCCATCTAGTCCAGCATCCTGTTCTTACAGTGGCCAACTAGATGCCTCTATGGGAAGCCCAGAAGCAGGACTTAGGTGCTCCAGGCCTCTCCCCACTTGTAAGTCCCATCAGCTGGAGGTAGAACAATAGTCATCATGGCTAGTAGCTAGTCACCTTGATCGAGTATTTATTTGTGAAAGATATTTCCATCCTGTCTTTCCACATCTGAGGAAATGCTCTGAGTGGCTCATGTTGTAATCATATAGTAAAAACAGGAACACAATAAAACAAATAATTAAAGTAAGACAAGCACCATAAAAATAGTCTAAGCAACAGGGACCAATGCCTCAAATTTCAGCAGGCAAGCTGTCAGTTTGCTTAAACTTCTTCAGTAGGCTCTGAGGGGAAATGTGAGCAAGCATCTCCAGTGGCAGATAGTTCCACATCCTATGAAATTAGCCATAGTTCAAGCTATAAAATTTGTGCTCATTTATTATTTATTATTATTTATTAAATTTGTATACCGTCTGTCTGAAGACCATGGGGTGGTTCACAACATAAAAATACAAAATGCATAATGAAACAAGAGCAAGAACAAACAAAATAACACCCCCCCCCAAAAAAAGACACTTTTTAAAAGCCATAGAATGTTTAATCAGCCAAAGGCTTGGTTATAGAAAAACATTTTTGCCTGGGTCCTAAAGATATGTAATGAAAGTGCCAGGTGAGCCTCCCTGGCCGGAGCATTCCGCAAATGGGGAGCCACCACAGAAGAGGCCTGTTCCTGTGTCGCCACCCTCTGGACCTTTTGTGGAGGAGACACATGAAGAAGGGCCTGACTTCGTTAGCTTTCCCCTTCCATTCTTCTGCTAGCTCAGCATCTTATTCTCACAGTGTCCAACAGATCCATTATATCAGAAGACCATTGTCTGCATTTCTTTAGAAATCTTCTGGAAAAGGTAGGTTGTTTTCCAGGCGAATAAACTATGCTACATAGGGAATATCGGTGTGCATCAATTCTCAAGAAGGCAAGGATGCTGGATTGCAAATGGTGGTGTAGCCAGGAAAACCGTTTTGTTCATTTAAGTTCCTCCTTTGTGAAGATCTCATAAAAAGCTTCTGATTGTGCCATTCTGCTGCTGCTCAAGGTTTCCTACGTGACCTTTGTTTTCCCAGATGGCTTGTCCGTTCTGAGTTTGATGTATATATACATAGAAGAGGCTTTGTAAGCCCAAGCGTGTGGTTTTAATGTTTTCCTGCTGTTGTATGGCCTTATCTGCATGTTTTCAGATGTGGAAAAGCTTGCAGCAAATACTGATATTGATGAAAGCGTTTGGCAGGGGGTTCTTTTATCTCCAGGCAGCAGTGGCACTTATCAAGCCTATCTAGGGAATACCCTTAATACCTCCTTTCCCCCCCTTTTCTTTCCTGCAGCTTCACCACTAAGTTTTTGCTACCTGGAGGATATCCTAGAGTCTGAATATTGCCGATATTTCTCCTTCAGTAGCAGGCCAAATCAAGTGAGCTAACAGGAGCATGTTTACCCTAATTCCACTATACAAATTCCTTACAATGGTGTTGTGGACTTTCTGTTGCGGGTCCTGGAGGAGATTAGGGATGAGCAAAGAAATAAGGAAATTGTGCTCTGTTGCTTTGAACTAAAACTAGTGAAAAATTCCCATCCCTTTTCAAACCCCTGAGCTCCGAATTATTGTGACACTAAAATTCAGTTATTTGCTGCTGTGGGCAATTGGTCCATATCATGAACTTGGAGTATTTGTATGGAAAAGATAGGAGAAGGATACTGATAAATCTTTTACCATACACACTGTTATTGGCTACTTTTTCCATCTCTGAGCTGGGAAGATGCTATTCCTTTAGGCTTTTGTCTGTGGAACCTTATGTGGCACTGCCTTGAGGAATTTGGAAAGGAAGTCATGGCTTCAGAGAGAGTTAAGCCATTCACTGATTCCAACTTTCGGATACTTTAATTACTAAGTAAGAACGAAGGAACATACAGAATGGAGTGCTGTAAAACAGCCTGCTCCTTCTTTGTTAGAATTTCCCTCAGAAGGAGCCTTTTATAACTATGCAGAAGTGCCAGTCTCTTTCCAAGTGTGAATTAGGTGTGAGCAGGGAGGACTTTTGGAGAGGGTATCAATGGTTCATACCAGCAAGATCTCCCACCTTTCTCTGGACCTCACAGGACTGTGCATTTTGTTGTTGTTGTTGTTGAGTGCCAGTCTTCCAAATTTGTGGGCCCTTGCTCATCAGAGAAATCTCGGTGCCCTACTTCACTTCATAGCAGTATACCTCTCACATTAGCATAGCTCCTTATGAGTCATCCACACTTAGCTTTCTTTAAGGTAAGTCACATAAAGATACTTCCATCTTTCTGTCTTGCTAGGGCCCTTTCCTCATCCAGCTTAAGAGCCGGTGACTTCTGTTCAGATGCTTTAGTTAATGTGTTTTACTAGTTTAATGCTGGGCACTCAGGCCACACGATGAGGCTGAGTCTCCTGAGTGCTGAAGGAAGAAGCAGGCCTCTTTGCCAACATGCCGGTGGAGGCCTTTGCTTCATATCTGAAGCCAGTGGGCTCAAGCCTGCCCATTTAAGCCTTTAAGACATCAATGGATCTGCTTTTACTTCATGAAAAACTGTGTTTCTGCTTCAGATATCGCTGGGGGAGTTAGTTCAAGGGTCAGAGGGGTGAGAACCCCACCAGTAGCAGAGCTGTTGAACATCTGGTAAAGATGTTATGAGCGTGAAGTATATTGAACCCAGCTGTGCCAGTAGCCATTGAGCAACTGAACACTAGCGAGGCTTAATGTGAACAAACTCCATGAGAACAGGCCTAGGGAGTAGTGTTGAGACACAGTGGGCACATCGGGGCAGATTAGGCAACTTTGACTGGGTGGGTCGCCTTGACACAAGGACACATGTGCCTGTTAAGTAGCCTTCAGTTTGGCAGCTCATCTAATAAGCAGAAGCAATCTGTCAGTCTTGCGTTATTCAGGGGGTGAAGGGGAAGCAGAGCCCAATGGCATTTCCATGGGTGCAGATAAGAACTGGGCCTCACATCAAATAGAACATGATTAATTGCTCTCCTTCCCAGCTCCCGCTTTGATAAACATATGTGAGGGCCCACAGGTTAGCAGATCAGGTAATGACTATCACATCAGGAGGTGTGAAGATTCACTGTGGAACTAGACAAGGGGCTTGGGGCATGGGATGAGTGATGAGGGCTGCTATGGGATGGCCGGGGGGGCGGGGGAGCAGACAGGCAGAGAGGGCTTCTTTCTCTCCGGACTGTATTTTCTTACCTTTCAAACAAGTCCTAAGGGCAGAGCCTGTAACTTCTTGCTTTGCCACATGCACAGAGATTCTGGCAACAGACGTCAGCTGCGTCTGATGGGAGTGGAAGTCCAGAGCATCTGCAGGGCACCAGGTTGTAGAAGGCCGGTCTGGAACATTTCCGGCCCTTTATTGAAACTTTGAGGTAGCACCTGGAAAAGTATGCAGGATTGGTTGCTCTTTGCCGCCTGTGACATAAAAACACAAGAAGAGCCTGCTGGATCTGGCCAGTGGCCCATCCAGTCCAGGATCTTGTTCTCATAGTGGCCAAAGAGATGCCTCTTCCAGGAAACAAGCAAGCTGAGCCCAAGCACAAGAGCCTTCTCCTTTCCTGTGGTTTCCAGCAACTGGTAAAACCAGATGGTGGCAATTCCTCCAGGGCCTCCAGTCACCTCCCCCAAGCACCATATTTCTTATACTTGTTAAAGCTTTTCAGAACCACATTTGGGCCCAAATGAGGACCCCCAAGATTATTTTAAAAGCCTATCACAAATACAAATTTTAAACAATAACTTGAAATAAACCAGAGTGTTAAAACAAAGATGAGCAGAATTTAATACTTTCAGTATCATTTTTTTAAAACCATTAAAAGCAGAGGGAGCGGAGACCTAAAAGGGGTTTAGCATAGGGCCAACTTCCCTTGGGAGGGAACTGCAAAATTGGGGTGCTGCCACTGAAAAGCTGTTCCCATCAGCAAGGTATCCTGCGTTGTTGGGGCTTACAAAAGATTTGGGAGGTGACAAATCAGAACGGGTTTCCTCACAGGTGCTTCCAGAAAGCCCACAAGCAGGAATTAAAGACCCTAGCCCCCATCCCCATCCTCACTCCCACCACCATAACTGTCTCCCTACTGCATCAACTGGTGTTCAGAGGTACACTAGCTCTGAATATGGAGCTTCTGTCTTAGCTTAGAGTAGCCACTGATAGGTCAGTTCGCCTACAGTTTGCTTAATTCTTTTTTAAATCTATCTGAGACTGTTTTCCCAGCGCAAAAAGAGTATTTAAGCTCTTTACCATGCTTGCTGGGAAGGGCTGCTCAGCACACCTGCTCCAGAAGGCTAAGGATGCTTATGTGACATCTTTCAAAAGCTCTGATGGCCCTGTGAGATCTCGCAAGAGCATCCCAGCAAAGCTATTTTGCACCAGGAAACCCTGGAGCAAAAATAACTCTTAAGTCCTCTGCCTTGCTTATGTTAATTTGCTGGATTTCAGCTGGCGACATTTACCCTCTGGGTATAGGGTGGTATATAAATTCAGTAAATAGTAGTAATAATAACCATGTCTGGCTGAAATTGTGCAAGTTAAATGTGTGTAAGACTTGATTGTACTATGACATTGACTCCATTTTGGGGACGCAGAATTGTGCCACAGAGCAGAAGAGTGGAGTTTTGGTAAATTTTCAGGCTCACAGAGAGCAAAGGATCCAGGTCTCCTGGTCGTGATCCTTTTGCATGCCCATTAATACTACCACACTCTCTTCCTAGCCAGTGTTGAGATTCAATAGGAAGTTTTTTTTTTTCCCTAGCAAAGTGTGTAGGCTGCTGAGCAGTGAGAAGGAAGGACATAGTGTTATCAGTGTTTCTTTTTTTCTGTCCTATGGTGATAGGACTATCTGGCCTTTGTTACCATGTCTCTCTAGGACCATTTTGCAGTCTTAACTGTGTTTGTACTTTGTGGATGGATAATTGGAGGTCAGAGGGAGTCATAGAATAGTAGAGTTGGAAGGGGACCCCAAGAGTCACCTAGTCCATCCCCCCTGCAATGCAGAAATCTCAACTAAAGTATCCCTGGCAGATGGCTAGAGTCATCTGTCCCAAGACCTGACATGTGTGTTCCCCACCCTGGTGCCTTCCAGCTGTTGCTGGACTACAGTTTCTATCAGCCACATGCATGAAGGCCAGTGGTCAAGGCTGATGGAAATTGTACTCCAGATTATATGGAGGGCACCAGGCTGCCATGCAGAGCTCATGGCAAAGGTAGGATTTGAATACACGTCTGCCAAGAGGCAGGCCTCGCCCCTCTGCTTAGCAGAGGTGCAGTCAGCACGAAGCCCTCCCAATATTGCTGGCTCACAGTTGCCACCTCCTTCGACCATTAACTGGGTTGGATGGGAGCTATAGGCCCACAGCAACTGCCAGGCAGCACGTTGGCTACCCCATAGCAGCATGTGGTAATTAGCTTGTGTTCTTACGTTCTGCTGTAATTTGGATAGGTGTCAGCTAGCCAGTGGAATCTCCTTTCCTTTAAAATAGAGTCATAGTCTCAAAGCTAAGCTGCCTGGATGGGCAGCTGCCTAGGAACCACAGACATGCCACCTTATTTGGCAGGGGACATCCTGTTGGGTGCACAATATTTGCCACCAGCCTGTTTGCTTGTGACAGCAAATACCTTTCTTAATTTTGCCCTACCTCTGGAGTTGGGCAGCAAGCACCACAGCTCAAGTAGCACCTTTGCCGTCCTGGAGATCTTTCTACCAAGGTCCCAAACATGCCGATTTGGGGCAGGGAGTCATGCATGCATGCAAGTCTGTTGCAGCAACTGAGCTCCGTTTATTTTCTTTAGATTAGATTTGATTTATATACTGCCCTTCATCATAAGATCTCACGGCGGTTCGCACAATAAAATACAGGATAAAAACAAATAAATAAGTGAAACAAAACAGCAAAACAATACCATCACCCTTCACACAGACACGTTTGAAAGGGTGTAGACTGTTAATAAGCCAGAGGCTTGGTTGAAGAGGACTGTTTTTGCCTGGTGCCTAAAGGTGTGTAATGAAGGTGCCAGCTGAAGCTCCCTGGGGAGAGCATTCTACAAAAGGGGAGCCACTACAGAAAAGGCCCTTTCTCATGTTGCCCCCCCTCCGAATCTCACCTGGAGGAGGCACATAAAGAAGGGGCTCAGATGATGAACGCAGAGCCCGGGACAGTTTATATTTTAAATGGCTGGCACAGAGCCCTGGAGAATTATTCCTCTCTCCAGGCTATAGACATTTTGTCATCTCCAGTTCTGGACTCAGAAAAGCCTCTGTAGTCCCCTGCGCCTGAAAGCAGACTCCTTGGGCTGCTGTTTATTATCTGTGCCCAGGGCTCCATCTGATTTTGATTACCCTGTATCAGAGGTGAGGTGGCTTGGGATCATGTAGCAGCAGGGGTGAAGCAGGGAGGGTTCCTCTGTTAGTGAAAAGGGGAAGTGCATGCAGAATGTAAGGACAGAGGAAACAGCCCACTCCCTTTGCTGGCAAGAGGTTGGACCCTCTGTCTGCATCGCCGCAATCCAAGAGGTCCCTGCGTGCTGTCGGAATAGAGAGAGACACTGGAAAGTACAGTAGAAACGAGCTTGCCATCAAAAGGCAACAAGTCCTGCCCTGTGCCCCCGGTCAGTGACCTTTCCCTCTGGAATTCTCCCCTCTGACCCCCAGATCATTAATCCCTCCACTGCCAGATGACAGTAATCCATCATGGGCCCTGACAAGCCTCGCAGCCGGCCGTGAAAGGATCTGCTCAGCCTCTGTCTCTCTCTTTCTGTCCCATGATGCTCATTTCTCAGCCTTTCCTGTTCAGCACTGGGGGCTTCCAATAAAGACTTAACGCCTTTCTCTTCCTATCAGGGGGCTGGGAGGGGAGGCGGCTGAGGGCTGTACGAGGAACCTTTCCACACTTACTGTGTCTTGTTTGCTTCTCTCAGTCTCCATCTGTGAAAGGCTCGAGCATCCAAAACAGCACTGGAATGGAAAATGGAGTCTGCTTTCCCTTTACTGTTAAATCTATTTTTAAAATATGTTTTAAATGGCTTTTGTCCAGCCTTTCAAATAAGCACCAAACTGTGCATTTAAAATTAAGCAGTTCATGTTAAGTAAATGCAGCACGGTATTAAAACCTGGAAAACCAGCACTAAAAGCAGAGGAAATACCAGAATAAAACTGATCAAATAAAATTGTCAAATAAAATTGTCCAACCCCCGCCCCCCCAAAAAAACCTAGGCAAGCAGATGCCGGGCATGTGCTGGAGAAACAGCATCCGGCAGGATTTAATGTCCGCTTATCAGCTGATGAGACAGAGGTTAAATCCTGCTTTGGCTGTCTGCTGCTTACTTCCCTGTTGGGAACTGGCTGGGGCAGCCAACACATAATTGACCCCACCCCACATCAGCTGATATCTCCCAACACAGCTGATTGACAGGTGGGTGTGGTGTGGGGGAAATCGGCTGGACAGACTGGACTCCCTGGCAGGCCAAGATTGGCCCCTGGGCTGGAGTTCCTCAACCCTGGTGTAGACACATGGCTATAACTCTGTACAGGCAACTTCCTATTTTCCTAACACATATTTGTATAGTGGATTTCAACTACGCATATAGCCCATGTGGTTTATTTTTTAAAAATTCACTGTATACGAGGAAGTTAATGCACTGTTCACATCTGTTACCCAAGGCCAAACAAATACTGATGCAGTTCTTTAAAGATGAGCATTGCTATTTGGGCTTTGCTTTCTGCTTTTATTATTATTATTAGATAGAAGTTCTGCACAAAGAAGCAGTGCTAACAAATAACATTTGCATATGTTTACTGGTCCTTATTTATTTAGTCAGAGGGAGCAGCGGCTTCCACAAAGACATTGAATCACAAACATATCCTTGGACCTCCTCTGATTTCAGATGGGTTTTTTAAGGTATTATTGGTGGCTGGCTAATTGGTATTTTGTTTATAGACAGCTTTTCAACCCCAGGGAACACCAAAGCAATTTTTTAAAAACCACATTTGTAACATTAATTCAATCCTTCAATTGAAAAAATGGTATGAAAACAGCAAAACATAGAATTCAGATTTCAAGCATAAGACATTGTGGTGCAGTGTATCAGTATACAGTGGTACCTCAGGTTAAGTAATTAATTCGTTTTGGGGGTCTGTTCTTAACCTGAAACTGTTTTTAACCTGAAGCACCACTTTAGCTAATGGGGCCTCCCACTGCCACTGCATGATTTCTGTTCTCATCCTGAAGCAAAGTTCTTAACCCAAGGTACTATTTCTGGATTAGCAGAGTCTGTAACCTGAAGCATATGTAACCTGAAGCGTCTGTAACCCGAGGTACCACTGTATTCCCAGTGTATCAGCCCCAAGTTTGTTTGTTTGTTTGTTTTTACATCTGTTCTTAAACGAAGACAAGTTCTCAAAGCAGAGAGCTCTGGGGGAAATGTATAATTTGACCAGGAAGAATGATACAAATAAAACTAAACTGCATCATATGGAGGTTAAAAGCCTACCTAAAAAGAAAAGTCTTGGTATTACATATTTCTGTTATTACTGATAGCTCTTGGCAGGCTGCACTTTTGCTTAGTGGCTCTCAAAAAACACAACTCCATCCACATGGGCAGCCGCAGAAAATGCTCTAGGCCAGAGGTGGGGAATCTGTTGTTAGACTACACCTCCCACCATCCCTGACCATTGGGCCATGCTGCCTGAGGCTGGTAGGAGCTGTAGTCCAATAACAAACATCTGGAGCGGCACAGATTCTTCACCCCAGCTCTTTCTTCCTTGATCAAACCCCACCTGCAGGCCTGGGTCCAGTTCTGGGCACCGATAGATTCAAGTTACAAGGAAGGAGATTCAAACTAAACATCAGGAATAATTTTCTGATGGTAAGAGCTGTTTGACAGTGGAACGGACTGCCTCGGATGGTGGTGTTTTCTCCTTTACTGGAGGTTTTTAAGCAGAGATTCAATAGCCATCTATTATGGATCTTTAGTTGAAATTTGTGCATTGAAGGGGGTTGGATTGGACTAATGACCCTCAGGGTCCCTTCCACCTCTACAGTTCTATGATTCTATTAATGACTAACCTAGCCTACCTCACAGAATTGCTGTGAAGCTAAGGCTGCACTTCACCTTGGAGTAAATCTGAATACATTCAGACTTATTTTTAATAGATATGCATAGGATTGTGCTGTAAAACCTAAGCCACTTTTTGAGAAGGGCGAGAGAGTCAGGCACAGGAAGTAAACAGGGCTAGATTTCATTTTATGAATGTGGACTATGCTGCTCTTTGTGCTAGGAACATACAGCACCACAGAATATACAGAGCATCATACAGAGGGATTTAAGATTAATTTTACTAGCTTGTATGTTTGGTATTAAGTACTTGTTTTATTGCACCCAGTCCTGAGATGATGCGATGCAGGGTGGGATATAAATATTTTAAATATAATATATGACTACACTTTCTATTGGGTTTTGAACTTTCAAAGCCATTAGTGTATCGTATCAGGAAACTGGGTAATTCTGGAAAGCTTTTTGGAAGGGTAAACAGAGCAACATAAATGCCCCCTTGATTGGAGCACCTACTTGAAATATGCCACTTTAGTTGCAGAACTGTATTCTTTGGGCATAGGCTTTTAGAGCAAAGAAAGTTGAGAATGATGTTAACCTATTTGAGTCTAATGATCTTAAGATTAAAGAATCAAGGAGCTGGCAGATTTGTAGATTTTTTAGAAAGAGTACAGGAAACAGATAGGGCTGGTTTATTCTACCTCCCCCAAAGAAATAAAAGTTAGGTCCCTTCTGAATGGATTGTGTGTGTGCACGCGCACACACATGCACGCACGCTAGAGTCTTTAATTTTAGCTCTCCATGTAATGAAAGGGTTTCTTCCCCTCAGAGGGTATAGACCAGTGGTTCTCCAAGTGGGCAGTAACAGTCCCTGGGGAGTGTTGGGGTTACCTAGGGTGGGTGGTAAGAGGCAAGGGGTGGCAGGAGAGTGCTGGAGGTATGAATGACTATCAAACTTTGAAAAGCTGGTCTCAGTGGATCAGGTTTGTTGAATGAATTAAACTAAATAGCTTGAATTGGATTTAAATAAAGTTGCAATTAATCATTACTGTTTTGAATTGGGGATGAGTTTATGGGAACCAAGTGGGTAGTGTCCCAAAAACATTTGGGAACCCCTCATATAGACTGATGGTAGGATGTCTGCCATTGTCTTTTAAGTTGGTCACTTGTTCATTCTATGGTCCTTTGCAAGTGTGAGAGAGGCTATGTCCTCAACATCTTGTTTCATCAATGTGAATTTGACTTGCCCACTCCTTGGAAGAAGCAACACTCTGAAGTTGTAAAACAGCCTAACTACCCTCTGAAGACGGTTTGGAAATTTCAGCTAGTACAGATGGCAGACAGCTTGTTCACTGGGGCAAGACAGTTTGAGCATATTGCACCGATCCTGGTCCAACTGCACTGGCTGCCAATTAGCTTTTGGGCTCAATTCAAAGTGCTGGTGTAGACCTATAAAGCATTAAACACCTCAGGACCCCAATACCTCAATGACTGCCTCTCCCCATATGAACCTGCCCGGACCCTGAGATCATCCTCTGAGGCCCTTCTTTGTGTGACTCCTCCACGAGAGGTCCAGAGGGTGCCAACACGAGAACGGGCCTTTTCTTCAGTGGCTCCTCGTTTGTGGAATGCTATCCCCAAGGAGGATTGGCTGATGCCTTCATTACACACATTTAGGCACCAGGCAAAAACATTTCTCTTCAACCAGGCCTTTGGCTGATTGAATGTGTTGTGGGAGTGGGGATTATTGGTTTTTGTTCTTATTTTTATTACGTATTTTGTGTTTCATATATTGCTGTTTTATGTTGTGAACTGCCCTGAGATGAAGAGTGATATTCAAATATAATAAATCTAAATCTACATCTAAATCTAATAATGTAGTAATATATATATAATAAATAATAATGGCCCACTCAGTGTTTGTACGCTGTGCATTTGGTGTTGGGTCCAGGTTTGGAAGCGCCTCATAGGCAAGATGCCTTCAGATCCGCAGTCTGAGGGCAGCATGCAAACATATTCTAAAAATGCAACTATAATAACGCAAATAAGCCAACAACATAGCCCACATTCAACTTCCCATTCATTCAGAAAGTCACAACAGTTTAAAACTGTAGAGCACCATCTCTGAAATCATATCGGTGCAGGCAAACTCAGGTTTCCACTTCTGGCATCCCACTGTAAGTGCTGCTGTCTTGAGCATTTGACAGTATGTTCTGCACGTGGCATCCAATGTATATTGCAGGGACCCAGGACTTGCCAAGCTGTCTTCCTGCAGACACCTTACATCTATCCATTGGTTACATAGACCAGCCTTCAACGCTGCCCCTCATTTCCCTTGGAAAATTTGTTAGTTACCTCCCCTTTCACTCTCTGCCTTCCCCATCTGGTCACTGGATCAAGCATGCTTAGGGATAAGTTAATACCATACGCTAAATTGGATTGGGGAAGAGTGGGTGGGTAATTAGTCCCACAGGAGGCCCCAGGGGAGTGTAAAAGTGCATTTACTGGATATGCAAAGCATGCATTCTGGGCTTAATCTTTATTAATGTTTTCACGCACCCAGCTCTCTCCTGCCTTTCTCACAGAGAATTTACCAGGGCAGAAGAATGACACCCATCAGTGAAAGGAAACACTTGCACACACAAATGTGCATATCAGTTTTATTTCTGCTTTTGTGAAAGCAAGAGGATGGGTAGTCGGCCTTGTTCTTTATTTGCAGTTTTAGCTGGTGGCTCCGCAAAGCTCTGCAGTGCCTTTTGAATCATGTCATGTCTTGCACGGAGCCACTAGCACAGATGTTATAAAACTGATGCCATAAAACTGGTTCAACAGAGGATTGGGAGGTCTGTCGGATACTTGTAAAACCATTTCATACAGAGGCTGGATTCCTCTTTGTTCTCACAACTGATTCCCCTATTTATGTATTATTTATTTCATAAAATTTATACACTGCTTGATTTTAAAAAATATAAAACAAGAAAATCAAGAAACATACAGCAATACTTTAAAACATACAAAAAGTTAAAATACAAAAGCTTAATCTAAACTTTCCAACCATCTGGGTAGGTTTGTCTACACAAGAATGAGTACAGTGAGGGCACCTGCTTGATATCAGTAGGCAGGAGGTTCCAGAGTGTAGGTGCTGCTACGCTAAATGATCCTAGTCTTACAAATTTGGAACACCTGTGGCACCTGTAATAGTGCCAGTTCTGCTGATTGAAACGGTCAAGTGAGCCTTTATGCTTATGGGGTAAGGCAATCTCTCAGGTAGTCCCACATTGTTAAGGGCTTTATATACTAGTAGAAACACCTTGAACCTGACCTGGTAGCAAACTGGCAACCAGTGGAGATCTCTGAGCACAGGCGTTATATGCTGACAAAGCCTGACTTGTGTCAGCAATCATTCTGCAACGTTCCGCACAAACTGAAGCTTCTGCATTTTTGGTACTGGTGTATGTATTGGAAGTAGAACATCTCAACCAAACTATATTTTAGGCCAAACCCATGTATCCTTGTATGTGAGAACTGGCCTGGTGTATCTACCTCTGCCATGAAGTTGTTTGATGCAAGGTGAATTCTCTGTCTCAAGCCAATGTGCAATATGGAGATGATGATACTCTCCTACCCTGTTGCAAAGATCACATTCCAAAAGTGTACATAAAGCTCTGTACAACACTCAGCAGCACTGTACAAATGCTAACTGCTCTCATTGATTCTTATTAGTCTTTCTTCAAATGTTATGGCCCTGTCTGTACAAAAGTGTAACGTTGGGAATATTTCCTCAAGAGTACCACTGAGGCGGTATGTGGCTGAGTAGAGGTTGCCGCAGAGGGAGTGGGCTGCTGCCTTCACACTCTGCTTGTTGGGTCCCTAGAGGGTGCTGCTTGGCCGCTGTCAGAAATGAGATGCTGTTTGTCTGATCCAGCAGACCATTTCTTGTAGGGCTGCAGCTTAGTGAGGAAGGTCATGCTGCTTGTTCAGTGGCAACAGGGCTTAAAAATTCTCAGCATCTCCAGGTTAGGCGTAGGAAAGTGTCTCATCTGAAGCCCTGGAGAGTCACCATCAGTCAGTATAGGCAGTTCTAAGATGGATGGGTCACTGGCCTGACTGTAGGACTCAGCTGCCTTTGAGACCCATAAAAGCAGCAAGAAACATCTGGATCTCTTAACTTTTGGAAGGACGGACCACTAGGCTGGAGCAACCATTATTCTGCACCAGTAAGGCTGCTGCAGCCCCCAGAGTATTACATTTTAAGCATATGGGATGGTAGTCAACTATTTTTTTTTGTCAAAGTAGACCTCTTGGACCTAACTTAGTCCAGTTCATTCATTCCAGTGGGTCTACTTAGTTGCAAATCACCCATGAAAGGTTGAAACACACACACAAGCATACACACCCTGTTAAGTTGTCAGGCTTTTTGACATTAAAAATATGTGGCATAAAAGAATTCCAGAGAATTGGTTAATAGGAACTTTTGTTTATCCTAGGAAGAGCAGCAAAGCAAACTCCTAAGGATTATGAATGTTTTCTGCTGCGGAGTCTGACAACATTTTGCAGGAAATCTGTCCTCTGGGCAGCATCTGTCATCTTTGGTTGGGGATTCTTGCCCTTTCCTGTCAAACTGGCCCTTAATATGTGATCTACCCACTGTGGCATTTCCTATTCTGCCTTGCTTGCCTGTTTTTGTTGTATTCCATTGCCTAGATTTGTTTACAATGTATATGAAAAGAAAAGGAGCAAGCTTAAGTTCAGAAGTGATAAAGTAGTTTTTAAAAACATCCCTGCCAGAAGAGGAATTTCCTTACAGAGGCTTAAAACTCCTGAGGTTGTAAAAACCAAAGTAATCCTTCAAATCAAGGACACTTTTTTTTATTCTTAGCCGTTTTTCGCTTGCCTCAAACAATCAAAATGAGAGTTGCATGCTTTAATCAGCTTGATTGATTTAAAGCTTTAGCTTAATTATTGGGAGACTGATTTTATTCAGCAGTGCTTAGGCTGAAAAGCCAACTTAGGTGTTTTTTGGGGAGTTTTTAATGTTTTGGCCTGGTGGTATAATAAAGTTGACCTTTTCTTTTAACATTAAGGAACGCTTAATTTAATAACCTGTACGTGTCTCAGACCCTTATTAATTATCTGGGAGCAACATGGGCTGCTAAGACTTCTGTAAGCAGGTGTCTTGCTTCTGTCGGACAGGTGAAGACAGCTCAGAAATGTTGCCACAGCCTGGCTTAGCATTATTTGAGTGAGCTGCCAGAATACTTGGAACTCGGGAGCTCTGTCATGATTGTCAACCCTCCCACTCATTTTTTTGGCTTGAAGTAAGCCATAGTTTGCTATTTTTTACAAACTGGCAATGGTTTGTTTCACACCAGGATCGGAGGGAGAGAAATCTCTCTGTGGGAGGGAAAGAGGGAGTACCTGAACCCAAGAATCCTTATGCTCATTAAAGACAACACCAAACCATGGATTGCTATTTATGAACTGCCATATAACACAATGGGGTTTGCTAATGTTGCCAAGAAATCTCTTGCTTGCAAACTTTCTGGTTAGGAAGAAGTTTTGATTTAAAGCTTTGGATCTAACTGTGTGCAAGTGTCCTGGCACCTCTTTCTCCAAAAACAAAGGCACCAGAAAAGCAGATGGGGAATTTAGACCAAAGAAGCAATGGCATGGGAGGGGCATTTCTCAACTCCATATTACCCTCCACCCCAAAATAAACACAGTTATGGTGGCAAGAGATAATGATCCACCTTTCTCATGCATCCATTGAGCTCCAGCCTCTACTCCAGGCCCAGTATTGGGCTTCCTTGAGAACCATAGATTGGGAGTTCTGTTTCAGCTATGCATTGTGTTCATAATCCATCCAGCAAAAAGGACCTGCTGAAAAGGGCTCTTCTTTCCGTTTGAGGGTTTTGTAGTGTTCCGCTATTCATTAAGTATATATCACTTGAATTCTGCTTCCTTGTGTGTGGTTTTTTAAAACGTGCCAAACCTTACTGTGAATTTGGCCCCCTAGTTTCCAGCATGTCAGCTGAGCTTTGTTCCTTGACAGAGGTGTTGGCCTGTGTTCCATTTTCACATTTCTGGGAGGGATGCTTGACTTGTTCTTTCCATCTTCAAAATATTAGGAGACTTAACAAGACCAGATTTGCTGGCTGACAGAAGGAAGTTGTGCTGGAACAGAAAGGAAAGTTAGAGGCAACGGCCCTAAAACATGCAGCCTCCAGTCAGTGTTGAAACCCCGGTGTTGCATGCTCACCGGCTGCCCATGACAGGGTGGGAAATAAATGCGTCATTTTGGTTACCAAAGACTTGAGTGGTTAGGAAATAGGTCCGGAACGGCACCATGGCCAGACTTCAAAAGAGTTGTTCAGATAGTTAATACTATTGCACCATAAAACCTCTCTTCTACACTCCTTCCTAATGAAGCAAATCAGAAACAAAACACCACCTTGTTATACACTCGTACCTTGGAAGTTGTATGGAATCTGTTCTGGACTAAGAGCTAAGCTGTTGAACACCAAGGTACGACTGTATTCTCCCCTGAGCTGTGCTATCCAAAAACTTGACACTTATACAGGCACAGTAGGCAGCACAGCGTTCCTTCTGCAACGATTATGCGGTGAAAACTTTGGGATCAATTTTAGGGCCTGAAAAAAGGGGTGTGACTATTATGCGGTGGTGGTGATTATGTAGTGAAATACGGTATTTAATTACATATAGAAATAAGACAAGAAGAGGGCCAGGCGCTTTTCTCTCCCCTCCCCACCCCTGCTCAAAAAACAAAATATTTTGTTTTTGTTTTTGTTTCCATTTCTAAAATGAAAGTGCTTTCAGCTCTCTTGCTCACTCTCCCCCCCCCCCCTCGAGTCACCATTCCAGGTTGTGAGTGCTGCAGAACTGCCATGCAATTCCCAGTGGTTGCAATTTGACTTCTGCCACGGTCAGGGAAATGGAAGGCAAAACTTAAACCACAATAAATTCAGTTAAATACAGGAAAAGTTGCCCATCTCTGGTGTACTGGTACATGGGAACCCCTAAGGAAGAGCATTAAAATCGTGCTCAGAAATGCCATAGTAATCTTGCGCATGAGCCAAAACTGTTGGGTTTTCACACCTTGGCCTCCTAAACATAATAACGCCGGCTGTTCCTCTTCCCCTAAGCAGGGCCTCTTCTCTGTCCGTTGCCTAGGTGCAGAGCTCTTCTGTATGGTCGGGTGTTTTGGCTTGCCCTAAGGGGAAGCGGGTGCCAGGAGGAGAACTTTAGTGGTGTTACTGCACTTCTTTCACAAATAGGGACCCTTTTCTTGCTGGGTAGGTGGGAATATTCTTATATTTTATAGAATGCACACAGCACCAACAGTGTGAATGGTACTTTGAGTAACAGACAAAGGACAGGTCACTCATAGGATCATAGAACTGTAGAAGTGAAAGGGACCCAAGGGTCATCATCTGAGGGATAGCTCAGTTGGTAGAGTGTGAGACCCTCAATCCCAGGGTTGTTGGTTTGAGCTCCACTTTGGGCAAAAAGATTCCTTCATTGCAGGGGGTTGGGCTAGATGACCTTTGTGGTCCATTCCAAGTCTACAGTTCTATGATTCTATGATCTAGTCCAACCCACTGCAATGCAGGAATCACAGCTAAAGAATCCCTGACAAATGACCATCCAACTTCTGACTAAACACCTCCGTTGCAGGAGAGTCCACCTTCTTCCAAGGCAGTCTGTTCTACTCTAGAACAGCTCTTACCACCAGAAAGTTCTTCCTAGTGTTTAGTCATACTCTTGTTTCTTGTCGTTTAAATACATTGCTTAGGGTCCCCCTCTCTGGAGTGGCAGAAAACAAGCTTGCTCCATCTTCCATGCCCTCGCCTGCCGTTCAGATATTTCAAGATGGCTAGCCTATCACCTCTCAGTCACTGCCCACAGCAACTTACAATCTTAACTTCGGCTCCAGCAGGGCGACAGAAGGAGGAAAAACAGAGAGAGAGAGGAGATGAGAAGAATACACATGCACTTGGGTTTACACATACTTGGATTTAGATTTAGGAGGGGACTGAGTGGTTGAGGCAAAGGCTTTACAGGAACTGTGGGATCACAGAGGTAGTCCAGCTGGAGTCTTAAGTGGCTTTTCCTTGCCCTCATTCTCTTCTTCCCTTTCTCTTTCTTTCTTTCCTGCTTCCTTCGTTTTGGCTGCAGGGACGCCAATCAACCGCATCCCCATCATGGCAAAGCAGATCCTCGACCTCTACATGCTATACAAGCTGGTGACCGACAAGGGAGGGCTGGTGGAAATCATCAACAAGAAGATCTGGAGGGAGATCACCAAAGGCCTTAACCTACCCACCTCCATCACCAGTGCTGCATTTACACTTCGCACCCAGTAAGTCCTGGACCTTCCACAAGCCTGTGTGATATCTCAGTCTATAACTAGATTAAGAGTTTGTGGCTGAATTCTAAACGGTGTAGACTGGAAGCTTCTTGCAGCTACCCTAGGAAAGGAGACGGGGAACACCTGAATCCTAGGCCCATCACAACTTTTCCCCATCTCAGTAAACTGATTCAGAACCCTGAAATTTCTACATTCCTGCTGTTAGTTATAAAAAAACATACTATTTTGCTTAGCTTCTTCTGTATTTCGGGTTGTGCCTTCTTCCAGCAGCTGATAGAACTGTTGATTTACTGAAGTTATCACCAAATTGAAGCCTGCCATTTCCTTCTCCCTCCACCCTTTTAATAGCACTTCCATAATGCCATTTTTTACTTACTTTTATCTCATTTATTCTCACGCAGCCCCTATGTAGTATAACTGCAGTCAGGTGAAATGTTCTGGCATTATATCTGAAATTTTGTCTGCTTATGAACCATGCTTTAAAAAGAGCTTCCAAGCTGGCCTGTCAAACCACAGTTTGTGCTAACTGTGGTTCATTGTTATGTTTGGATCTGCAGATCATTGGCAAATGACAGGGCACAAAGACATGAACACAAACTTACAGGAGCGGAGTCCTGATCAGATGAGAACTAAACAGACAAGCAGCTCAAATTATGGTGGGATTTGTTGTAACTATGGTTAGCACAAACCATGGTTTGGCTTGATGTCTGAATGAGCCCTGTGACTGGGCCTGGGCTGAGTCCATCTCTGCTGTACCAAATGCAGCGTTCTGTCTGGTTCTGCATCTCCTGTTCTTTGTTTTGTTTTTCTAGGTATATGAAGTACCTCTACGCCTATGAATGTGAGAAGAAGTCCTTAAGTTCTCCCGCTGAGCTGCAGGCTGCCATTGACGGCAACAGGCGGGAAGGCCGCCGGCCCAGCTACAGCTCCTCCTTGTTCAGCTACTCCCCTGCTGCCACGGGGACTCCTTCACTCCTGTGCCCTCCAAAGATCCGCTTCCCCATCGTTAGCCTCGCCTCTGGTGGCGGAACCAGCAACCCTCACCTGTCTTCAGCAGGCGCTCTCAGGAAAGGTCAGCCACTTACCTGGTTCGTCATTTGGGTGGCCTGAAGGGCCAGGTGCTCAGGTTTAGCAGTCAGATGGATACAGTGGGTGAAGGGTGTGTTTGCACACACATACATGCACGCACGGTGTGGCTCACAGTGGCCACTTCCTCCAACAGATGTGAGAATTTCAGCTGGTTGTGATTGACATCCACCATTTTTCGTGTTCTTGGGTCAGAGCCATGTGAGCGAAGGCAGCAAAGTTTGTCACCTGGTCTTGGGACTGGTGTACGGAGGGGAAGGGTGGCTACCATCTTCCTAGTTGTTCCTCAGCTGCATTGACTGGCTCCCCTTTCCTCGTGCATCCAGAATAGACTTCTTTTTTCACCCCTAAATGTGTTCTCCCTCCCTACTCTCTGCCTCATTCCCTCTCTTCACTATTCTTCATCCTTTTGACTCCTTCACTTTTTAGCCGTTTCCATCATAACCGTGCAGTCCTTCCCTGAATTCATTTACACTAAACTTCTTTACTTCTGCCCCCTCTTCTTTTCTCCTAGTTTTAGCAGGTTGTCAGCTGCCTGCTCATGATCCCCCTGAAGCATTTACATTCCTGTTAGTGCAAGGAGGGGGAACAAGTGTCATCCCTTCCCTGCCAAGTACAACCGGGGGGTGGGGAGCATAATTATTATTATTATTATTATTATTATTAATTTATTTATACCCCTCCCATCTGGCTGGGCTTCCCCAGCCACTATGGGCGGCTTCCAATAAAATATTAAAAATACAATAAAACATCAGACACTAAAAACTTCCCTAAACAGGGCTGCCTTCAGATGTCTTCTAATAGTCAAATAGTTGTTTATTTCCTTGACATCTGAGTCGAGGGCATTCCACAGGGCGGGTGCCACTATCAAGAAGACCTCTGCCTGGTTCCCTGTAACTGCTTCTCGCAGGGAGGGAACCGCCAGAAAGCCCTCTGAGTTGGACCTCAGTGTCCGGGCTGAACGATGGGGTGGAGATGCTCCTTCAGGTATACTGGGCTGAGGCCATTTAGGGCTTTAAATGTCAGCACCAACACTTTGTGCTCGGAAATGTACTGGGAGCCAATGTAGGTCTTTCAAGACCGAAGTTATGTGGTCTCGGCAACTGCTCCCAGTCACCAGTCTAGCTGCCGCATTCTGAATTAGTTGTAGTTTCCCGGTCACCTTCAAAGGTAGCCCCACGTAGAGCTCATGGCAGTAGTCCAAGTGGGAGAGAACCAGAGCATGTGCCACTCTGGCCAGACAGTATGCGGGCAGGTAGGGTCTCAGCCTGCATACCAGATGGAGCTGGTAGACAGCTGCCCTGGACACAGAATTAACCTGCACCTCCATGGGCAGCTGTGAGTCCAAAAGGACTCCCAGGCTGCACACCTGGTCCTTCAGGGGCACAGTTACCTCATTCAGGACCAGGGAGTCCTCCCCACCTGCTCACCTCCTGTCCCCCCAAAACAGTACTTCAGTCTTGTCAGGATTCAACCTCAATCTGTTAGCCTCCATCCATCCATCCTCCAACTGCCTCCCGTCACTCACACAGGATCTTCACCGCCAACACTGGTTCCGATTTGAAAGAGGTAGAGCTGGGTATCATCTGCATACTGATGAACACCCCTGATGATCTCTCCCAGCGGCTTCATATAGATCTTAAAAAGCATGGGGGAGAGGACAGAACCCTGAGGTATCCCACAAGTGAGAGCCATGGGGTCTGAGCACTCATCCCCCAACACCACTTTCTGGACACGGCCCAGGAGGAATGAGCGGAACCACTGTATAACAGTGCCCCCAGCTCCCAGGCCTCGCATGCCCAGAAGGATGTCATGGTCGATGGTATCAAAGGCCGCTGAGATCCAGCAGAACCAAGAAACAGCCACTGTCCAGCTGACCAGGCAGTTTCCAGTCCTATGGTGAGGCTGCAGAATCCCACCTGAAGGGATCCAATGTCCACCTCTAGGGTGTGCTTGGAGCTGTTCAGCAACTACCTCCGCCAATCACCTTGGCTCAAGAATGGAAGATTTGAGACTAAAGAATAGTTGGCCAGTCTAAGATGTTTTTAAGAAGCGGCGTCGAGACCCTTTCATTGGGTCTGGTCCCTCTGCAGAGGAAGTATCCACCCCGCAGAGTCCATCACCAGCCCTTCCTGCCTGGGCTGACATTAGATGGGGCAAGGATCAAGGAGACAGGTGGTCGGTTTCACTCGAATCCTTACCTTGCACAACTGTTTTGCTGTCAAACAGCTCTTTCCTTCAGAAAGTTCTTCTTAACATATAGCCAGGATCTCCTTTCTTGTCATTTGAATCCATTGATTTGAGTCCTATCCTCTGGGGCAGAGAGTTATAACTGCTCTCAGCCAATCTCAAGCATCCTCCTCTGGGGCAGCATACTTAGTAAGTGGTGGCTGGGCAACACTATGCTGTGTCAGATGAAACTGAATTTCTGGACCTATTTCCAAAACCACTTTAATCGCCACAATGGATGACCTGTGCCAGGAGAAAAACAGGGAGCAGGACCCTACTGATTTCTTTCAGACCACCTGGGCTCAGCTCTTCCCTGTCCCCAGAACCCCTACGGTCTCTTTCCTCATTGGCCTATTATTTACAGTGGTACCTCGCAAGACGAATGCCTCGCAGGACAAAAAACTCGCTAGACGAAAGGGTTTTTTGTTTTTTGAGCTGCTTCGCAAGACGATTTTCCCTATGGGCTTGCTTCGCAAGACGGAAACGTCTTGCAAGTTTGTTTCCTTTTCTTAACACCGTTAATACAGTTGCGACTTGACTTCGAGGAGCAACTCATAGAACAGCGGTGTGGTAGCCTTTTTTGAGGTTTTTAAAGACTTTGGTGATTTTTGAAGCTTTTCCAAAACTTTCCCGACACCATGCTTTGCAAGACGAAAAAAATCGCAAGACGACAAAACTTGCGGAACGAATTAATTTCGTCTTGCGAGGCACCACTGTATTTATTTATTTATTTATTTATTTATTTATTTTTAAATGATATTTATTAAAGTTTCACAAAGAAAAAATCACATCAACAAAAAAGAAAAATTCAAGAATAAAAAGAAAAGTACACAATACAAAATACAAAAAGAAAAAACAGTTAAAAACAATTCCATCTTTTCATCACTACTTTTACATTTACTTGTTTCCCGGACCTCCTCATACCTCCCTCTTTTGTATTCCAATTCAGTTTGTTAGTCCAGCAATTCCTTTCCCTCCTTTTTAATCCCAGTCCTTAATCTTAATATAATATAACATTAAATTTTTACCTATTAAAAACCAATTTTCCATTCTTTTAGCCACTGTATTTATTTAACATATATACTGCCCTACACCCAAAGATCACATAATTTTTTGATGTCAGTGCCAGGGATGAAGCAGTTGCTGCCTTAGAGGGGAAAGGGAAGGGCAGTGCTACTAATAGCATTGTCAGGATGGTGCTTCCAGCCTTGGGCAAGTTGCCGGTTGAGCCATGGCTCCCGCCTCAGCTTGCCTCCAGGTCCCTGAGTGGCCCGTTTGCTTTCCTAGGTGACGGCGTCCCCTTAACCGTGTCCACGCCAAACCGCATTGCCATGCCTGTGGCCTTGGCGAATCAACAGGCGGCTGTGACGGCAGCAGCACGAACCGCTACCCTGGACCAGCTGAGGGAGAGGCTGGAGTCTGGGGAGCCCGCAGAGAAGGTGGCGCGGATGACGGAGGAGGAGCAACGCTTCATTCAGCAGGCCTTTCAGCGGAACCTCTTCAGCATGGCCCGGCAGCTGCCCATGAAGATCAAGATCAACGGCCGAGGTGAGGCCGCCCTGGCTCTGCGGCAGCCTTTGGACTTTAACTCCCATCGGCCCCAGCGAGCGCCCATAGTTCAAAGCATCTGGAGAGCGTCAGGTTGGCAAAGGCTGATGGGAGTCGTAGTCTAAAACTGGCCGCCAAAGTGGGTAGTAGCATCCCCTGGGGGGGTGGGGTTCCCTAGGGGGCTCTGAGAGGCAAGGAGATAGCAGGGGGGCACTGGAGGTGGTGATTTAAATCTCCTGCTAAGTGACCTTAAACCAGACATTAGGAAACAGGTGTCACCATCAAGCCAACCCATCGCATTAAGAGTTTGCTGAACAGTGAAGCCATGACTAAATATGGTATCTAAGACTTGTTCAGTGACTGACAGGCTTATCTCATATCAAGTTCATCAGTTAAGCTGAATTAATGGAACTAGCTTTAATTGGATGTTGAATAAAAGTGCAATTAATTGCTACTGTTTTGAATCTTATTGTGTTATTATCTTCCTTAGTGGGCTGTGCAGACTGCTATTCTGAATAATGCTTTTTGGAGGGGAGGGACTTGATGCATGAGGGAAGCCAGATAGGTGCAACTTCTTGGTTTAAACCAGTGATGAGCACAAACCACAGCCCTCAGACCACATTTGGCCTCGTGGGAGTTTTTACCCCTTGAGAATCACCCGGCTTCTCCTCCTTCTCACTCCTGACCCACTTGGAGTGGACCAGAGAGCTGATCTGTCCCTTCCCAATAAAGCTGGCATGGCAAACTGTGCAAGCAAGTTTTCAGCCAGAACTCAGTTCTGGCACCTCTCAGGTGGGCGCCATTGCCATTCTAAGAGAACGAGGGAGGTGGTGTTGATGCATTCCGGCACCTCTTTTTCTAGAAAAATAGCACTGATGAGGTGCCTGCCAGAAGTCTCATGAGATGTACTGGACTTGCTTTGCCACTGATGCGTCTTCATCACTTCAGCCACAGAGGCATGAGTACAGAATGGTAGTTGGAAGGGACCCAAAGGGGTGGTGAGAACGGCAGGTCTACAGGGTCTATCACAGTCAGCTGCATGTTGGAGGAGGAGGATGCTGGGGGCCATTGCCCAGCCTCAAAGCCCACCGCCAGCTGGGATGTGGTGTTTTCCAGATGCAGGGATCAGGCCTGCATGCTGAACAGTTTCCACGCCAGATGTGACCCTCAGTCCAAAAAAGAAAAATCGCCATCCCTGGTTTAAACCCCTTGTGCTTCCCGTGTCCAGTGTTTCCCCAGCTGAGCCATTCAGGGCCCATTGTTCCCTTCCATTTATTTTAATGGTGGATCAAGGCGTAGTGCAGAGCAAGGTGAAATCTCTACCAGTTGACCAACTATGTTACAACTATCAGGTCTGGGGAGGTGTGTGTGTGTGTGTGTGTGAGAGAGAGAGAGAGAGAGAGAGAGAGAGAGAGAGAGAAATGCCCAAGCCGGGTCTGTAGTGGGATGAGCATAACACAACTCACACTATTCTTTTCTCCTCCCCCACCAGAGGATAAATCAGATTCAGCAGCGACATCAGCAGCACTGAACTGGACCCCCTCTGGCTTTGGAAGCATTAATATGTCTGTGGAAATCAATGGCACAATCTATGCTGGTGAGAGAGAAAGAGTCCACTTCTGAAATGGGGCAAGGGATTGAAGCAGGTGGATCCCTTGGAATCAGCCGCCCAATATTTGGAATAATCCAGCTTCAGACTGAGCATTCTGCCAAGCTGCGGAATGGCTGGTCTCTGGAGAAAAATTCAGAACAATCCTCTGATCACACACACACACGGCTATTGATATGCCATTGCCGCTCTGAGGAAGCCAGAGCAGAGACGGGCACAAATGTCGGTGGCTTTAAAAGAGGAGAGGGCTATCGATGGCTCCTAGCCAGGTTGGCTATGCTTCTGTCTCCACAGATGGATGCAGCAATGCTTCTGAGTACCAGTTGTTGGGAACCACAGGAGGGTAGAGGGCTTTTGTGCTTGGATCCTGATTGCTCGTTTCTCACAGGCATCAGGAAGGCCACAGTGAGAACAGGAAGCTGGACTAGATGGGTCCCCTTTGGCCTGATCCAGCAGAGCTCTTTTTGCATTCTTATGTTATCCTTGGCCTGCTAATCTTCCTCCCTTCTCTCTGCCCCGCAGGGGTCTTGTTTGCCCAGAAACCTGTCGTCCACCTCATTGCCGGATCCAGCACGCAGAGCACCGGCGGCGGCAGCAGCAGTTCCTCCCACTGTTCTCCCAGCCCGACCTCCTCCAGGGGCACACCTGGTGTAGAGCCCTCAACCAGCTGGTCTCTCTGAGGGGGAAGCAGGGAGGAGGTGCTCTCTCTCTCCCTGGCCCCAAGCGGTCCTGCCGGTGACCTCGCCTCGAGGAGCCCGCTTAGAAGACCAGCCAGTGGCAGAGAAGCAAAGATCCTGTGCTGGCAAGGATCCTGCCGAGGTGGTCTCTTGCTGCCCATCTCACCTTTCTTCAGGTCTTGCTGTGTCCTCGGTGGGAAAAGGAGGGCAAGGGGGCGGGGGTGGGGGGCGGGAGGGGACACAGGGCGTGTTTCAATCAGGGATTCTCTGGACGGGCTGTGTGAGTTTTTGTAGATGACTGAGCATCGCCACTGTAGCAAAAGGCGAAGGCAAGAAACCCATTTTTCCATGCTTCAAACGACTTTCCCCCCCTAACGTGACTGCAGTGTATTGACAATCCTACCCCCCCAGAGGCAGGGGGGGAACATAGCTCTCTCCTCTCATATACCACCCCCACATCCTTTAATTCCTCTCTCCAGCTTGCTTTTACACACAGAGAGACACAAACCCACATTTGATCCCTCTGTGTGTTAATGTGCAGGTCTTGCTGGGTCTCTTTCCTCTTCCCAGTTAGCCAGCCTTGACTCAAAGAGCCAGTGCATCTCCTGCCTCCCTCTCTCCTTCTGGCCTTAGGTTTGGCCTGCTAGCTTCCTCTGGAGGAGTCTGACAGCATGGAAGTTCCCTTTCGTGCTGCTTCTGCACGCTCCAGCCCTGGGAGGCTGGACAGGTCTCTGGAGGAATCTGCACCAGCTGCCCTTCGCAGCTTTGCCCAGCCTTCCCTGCAGAACTGGGGCTCAGGCGCCAGCATTGGCAGGTTCTTCCACAGTCTCACTCCTATCCAGCCTCCCCATGAGGTCAAGTTGTGCAATTCTGTTTCTCCATTCTTTCTGCCTCAGGGGCAGGTGGGGATGCATGGAATTTTTAAATTTTATTTTAAAAACTCTACCAGTCAGAAAGCTAAAGGTGAAAGTGGTTAGGGGGTCATCTAGGTCAGGCACATTTTATGCTCCACCCACCCTTGCTTCCCTGTCCTCCCCCAAATGTAACTGGGATTGGGCACCTTGATGCTGAAAGAACAAAGCTGTTCTTGCATTGCTGCTGCCTGTGTCCACTCACTTAACACTTGCCGAGAATCCTCTGCGATCCCAGCCTATCAAAGGGGGGTTGGCTGCTTCCTTGTGCATTGGTGGGGCCAGCCCTAATTGACTGCCCCACAGCCCTAGAACAACCAGGGGCTTCTGAGCACCTTCCCCCACATCTTCCCTTCTAAAATCTTGATGAGGGAGCCATGTGTTGTTCCTCAGGACAGATGAACTCCTCAATTGCTTCCCCCTCCACACTTGTGCACACACTTCGCACTTCCGTGTACCTCCCCCCTTGAACGTCTGCCTGTTTCTGCTTCCTCCTTGTAGCAGAAGCCCGCTGCCTGCCTGTGCCCCGGCAGCCCCCACCTCCTTGCCAACAGGGATCCGCCCTCCCTCTCCTACCCTGACGAGTCTCAGTCATGCTACAGATCTGCATCAGCTTCTCCTGAGCAGATGAAATACCTCAAAAATATGTACTTATTGCTGTGTTGTTGTTGGGTTGTTTTTTTCTCTTTCTCTCTTCTGGAAGGATTTGCATATGTTAAAGCTTCTTTTTATATGTCTTGTTGACTGCTTTTTATTTTAAATTTTATATATTGTAGCACCAAAGACACACCAAAAAAAGGAGCCCCCTGAGTTGAAGGATCAGAAACCTTTGATGTCCTCAAGATAGCATGGAAGCACTTGGCTCATGGGGTAATAGGTGGTGGTGGAAGATGCAGGTTCATTTCTCAGGCTGACTTTCTCTCTTTCCCTCTCGTTGGTTTGATGTTGTTTTCTCCTCGAAGGGCTTATTAGTTGTTCAGGATTTTCAAAACAATCCATGTTAGGTGCATCTCAGTCCCAAAACAATGAGAGGACTTTGTTTCCTTATTACCCTCGAAGTAAAGTCCTGGGCTGCAATTCTGATTATTTCTGGCCTCTCGGGAGCTCGCTGGTTCTCATGGGATTCTAACCCACGTCCTGCGTGGTAGGCGGAGCTCTGGAGGCAGCTAGGCCCTCTCAGAAGTGCAGGTGTTTCTGTCCCCTCCCCTCTTTTTTAAAGGCTCCCTCAGAGGGAAAGCAGAACCCCCAGCTTGGAAAAGCTAGGCACATCTGTAACTGTGAAGCTACTGGGAATGGCTGAAGTGATGTTTTTCCCCCGGTTACAAGAAATAGGTTGGGGGACACACTTGCACTAAATCCTCTTCCTTCCGCAACATTGCTTTTGGACAAGTTCCTGCAGAGGAAAAATACGCTCTTGGGAGGGAAACTATTTGTATTTGAAGGGTGCGTTTAAAATGCATTATGAGTTAATAAATAAGAGTGTTCCTTTCTGGACACATCTTTGAGCACAAGAATGGACCACCAGAGAAGACAGTGGACTCCTTGGCTGTATGTTTTTTAAGCAGAGGCCGGAAAGCCACCTGTCAGGGATGCTTTAGTTGTGATTCCTGCATTGCAGGGGGTTGGACTCGACGGTCCCATCCAACTCCACAATTCTATTAGTCTTTGATGGTGCTCGGTCCTGCAGGTTTTCCGTTTTAAAAAAATACTGGATTTCTAGGTCCAGTATGTTTCTCCCAGGCGTGTTCCTCTGCAGTTACTTACCCAAGGCACTCCCACCCACTGTGTATGTGAGCATGTACCACTGGGCCAAGGAAATTGCTGTGGTGCCAAGTTCACACATCCTTCCAAGTGACGCCACATTCGTCCCTCCACCAAGCAGATTTATCAAGGGGGACGTGAGCAAGAGAACACGCCATTCCTGCTGGAAGGCCTCAAGTCTGCAACAGGGAGGCTCAGCTGGCAAGCCAGATGTGGCCTGCAAAGCATTCTTTCCTGGCCTGCAGCCACCCTGCCAAACTTCAAGCAAGGCATTGTAAAAAGTCTAGCCTTTGTAGGAGAGAAGGAGATTCCACGCTTCAGTGTTATCTCTCTTCAGCCAACAGCTGCTTGGAAAAGCAATGGGACACTGGATGCTTTCCAGCAGACCAAAACTGCGGAGAACCTAGTCGGTCCATCAGAATCTTGTTTTTAAAAATGCAACAGCAGATTAATCCTGCTACTAAATTGTCACAGAATACAAACAATCCTTGAAGAAAAGATCTGCTGAAACTGAAAGCTTGCTCATACATGGGGTGTTTTAGTTGACCTGATAAAGGTTTTACCCTGCTGTTACTGTAGGAGATTCCCTACCCATTTCATTGTATTGCTATCTCATGCAGATTCTGGGAAAAACAAAGCTCCACACCCAAGCTACCTCTTCTGCAGATCTTTGCGAAGCAATTCTGCCCCCCTCCCCCAACCGATTGCCTTAACCCAAGTGACTGCATAGCTCCCAAACTGTGACACTCATTCGTCCTGGATGATTCGGGGCAGATAGTGTGTCAAAACACACCTCTGGCCCCTGGGCCGCTGCTCTAGGGAACACAGAAGCCTGGGTCAGATCTGGCCAGCTGTGGACCGAATAGTCTGCAAACATATATTTTTTCTCCCTTGCCACAACCTTGCTAGATTTGAATGAAACATGTGGCTGGAATTCTCCCCGCATACTCAGTGATGGGGATTCCACAGGATAGCATTCTCTTTGTGTTTGGGGCTTTGCAAATAATATCCCAGACCTGACTACGCTAAGGTGTGTTGCGGATTGTGCAGCAAAATCCAGCTCTGTCCCCAGCAGCAACAGCGACCCCCCCCACCCCACCCCCAGCTGACTTGATAAGGCCTTATCTGTGGCCAGTTCTCAGGGCCCCTTGCGATTCTACTTGGCTCCTTTACTGTCAAGAGTATGGCTGTTCCACCTCTTGAAACAGAGAAGGTAGGAGTAGTGGCATCTGGAGGCTGGGATGTCGAAAATCCAAAGGCTGCCTTCAGCTTTCCACAACAGCATATTGCTTGTTGCTCCCATTTGCATTGGAAACCCCCAGCCAAAAACATTTTGCCCTCCTGGGTGTTTCCTCCGCCAGGAGCCAGGAGCTAAAGTATCTGTTAGCAGTAAAACCTGTAGTCCACCTGCTTTCCTTTGGCAGAGATGGTCTGGTTGTAAAGGCAGCTGGCTGACTTTATTCTAGCTGGCAGGAAGGTTGCCAAAGTTGGCATGAGATTTGTCCCCGTCGGGTCTCTTGGCTCATTGCCTCAGGCCTCCTTGGCCTTTAAGCAGAACCTGCACCACAACCAGGGTTGGGTGTGAATCTTCTCGGGCGTTTTGCTGGCTAATTCTTTCTCTATTGTGTGTGTGTGTGTTTTCCCCCACCACCACTCCCAGCAACGGAAGATTGTCCCATTTGCAGTGGTGGTTGTTTTCCAGCTTAGCGTCCTACAAGGCTGCTTTGTACAAAGCCAGGCCGTGGGTCCATTGAGCTCAGCATCCTCTGCACCAACTGGAAGCAGCTCTCCAGGGTTTCAGGCAGGCCTCAGGCAAAACAGGTGCCGCAGCACTGAGCTGTTCCCCTTCCATTAGGAAGTTGAGCTCCGCTGAGTAATTCTAAGGAATCCTGATAAGACTGCTTTTGTCTTGTAAGCGTAGGTTTCCAGGCCTCAGTTTTGGGGGCTGGTGGTGGTGGATGAGCACTTGAAGGTGTCCAGTATGGTTTCTGCATTTAATACGGCTGTAACCTTTCCTGCACAAATTTCCCCAATACTCACGTGACTCTGACACTTCCTCTCCCAATCCCTACCCAAGTGGAACACACAGAACAAAATCCTGTAACCATATAAACATGTGAATATTGTGCAGAGTTGCTTGATCTGCATAACTCGGTTTCCTGGTTTCAGAACTTGTGGCTTCAGCTTTTCTTTTCTTTTTTACCCTAGTGCAGAGTTCTAAGTTGGGGGGGGTGGCTTTTTCCTAAACACCTTCTCTCCCCCCACCCCAAGCTCTGTCAGCAGTGGATTCTGGGATTTCTTGCTTTAATGTGTACCAAGCTAGACACAGAAGTGGCAGAGAGAACTTGGGTCTGTTCTGATTTATGTGTGAAGCAGGCGTGGGAGGATAAGGGGCCTGATTTAATAATAAATCACTGAAAGCATAAAAGTTCATATTATAGTTACTGGGAGGTGAACCTTCACCCTCCAGCACTTTCCTATCAACCACGCTCTCCTGGGTGTCAGAGTTTGGCTCTGGGCACAGGGAACAGCTGGAGGATGATGGGAACTGGCTTGGAAGAAGGATAAACTGTGGGGCAACCTCCAAACCCATGTGCCCCAATTGATTTTAAAAGGAGCACACTCCTCCCAGTCATCTGCATTACCTGGAGTTTCAGGCAGAGCTGAATTTCCGCCAACGGGTCTCTCACTGCTCTGTCCAGTTTGGTCCCATTGCACTCGATACCATTTGCATTTCTTGCACAGGAAGGTGCTTGGAGCCCTGGGGTGGCCTCTGCCCTGCAGGCCCATCAGTTTCCTCACTCACCTAAACTGAAAGCAGCCAGGGAGCTAAAGGGTCGTTCTGAATCCAGTTCAGGGAAAAGGGTAGATTTTGGGATTTGTAACGACATTTGTAAGTATATACCTCATTAAAATAAGCTGCAGCTTGGCTGTTTTCTGGGTCAGCCATTTCAGGTTGTAGAAATCCACCCCCTCTCCTTCCTTCCCCTCTTTTTGATGGGCTGGGTTGTATCGCTGTTTGTGATGTGCTTTGCCAGGCTTTGGAGGTCGGTGGAGAAACCAGCAGCAGGTTTTTGGCTCGGTAAGGCGCAGGTGAGCAGGGCGGGGCATTCACCTTACCCAATTCTGAATATTGAAAGATTGTATGACGCTCAGGGCTTTTGATATGACAGAAGGGGCTGCTCCTCCACCCCGGTCTTAGTTTCATTTGCAGAGGCAGTTTCCTTTCCACCCCCAAATCCTACAGCAGAGATGCTGGGCTTGTGGGTGAGGTGCATCCCCACAAGAAAGGATCCTCCAGGCCCTCCTTGGCTTAGCTCTGGATTGTGCAAAGGCTTGCAGACCTGGGACTTTATGCATGCACACACACACACACACACACACACACACACACAGCCTGTGCTCTGCCACTGAACTTCGGCCCCTCTCAAAGTCTTTTTAAAAAAACACCCCTCCTTTCTCTTGCCCTGGGAAAGAGGGCCCAGTGCTTTTCAGGTGGCACCAGAAGACTCCAGGACAAGGTCCCTTCAGCCATGGAGGTGGAAGTGGGGTTGCTGTCCCAGAGAGGCGCTCTGGGTCCTCCCAAGCAAATAGGACTTGACCACACACAAACACACACACACACACACACACAGCCCTTTCTTAGCGGCTGCCTCTTCCAGGCAGATCCAAAGGAGGGAAGGAGGCAGGTGGTTCTAAGATCTGCCACCACTTTTGCAGCAGCTGCACAGCTAGGGGTGTTTTCTCTCTCTCTCTCTCTCTTAACTATTTAAAGGAAGAAATAAAATGTGATAGCCTAGATGGTGAATAAATAAATACCTCAGATGTTTCCTTCCAGCAAGTGTCTGTATATGTTGTTGGTGGGTTTTTTTTTTTTCTATCTTACATGTTATCTGAATGTTTATATTCCAATAAACTTCTACCTCTTCATACAACAGCTATGCACTTCTTCCTCTTTGTGCCGTTTTTTGTTTGTTTCCCCCCACTGCTGCTTCCCCTTTTGTAGCTCCCTGGAAAAGCCAAACAGCAGCTCTTCCATTCCAACACTTTGGCA